AGATGTTTGTAATCTTAGGATGTTTGAACTACCGGAAGACATTTAAGAAAAAAAAATGAAGAAACTCAAAATGACAAAAATAAAAGGTTTTATTTAGAAAAAAAAATGTAAGCAATTAGATGTTTTGGAGAAAAAAGTATAAATACCAAAATTTTCAACGTAAAATTGACTGAAAATGGTAAAATATATGGTGGATAATGGCTCACAGAAAAAAAAATATATATATATATATATATATATATATATATATATATATATATATATATATATATATATGCGTGAGTAGGGGTATTTTCGTCATATTTTGGAAAAAATGCAATGTGAGGGGGTTTTTTGTATTTATGTGTAGTACAGGGGGGTAAATGATACAAAGTCCATAGTACAGGGGTGTTTTTGTATTTAACCCTAAAATAAAAAAGACCCTACAATCTGACCTTATACAATAAAGTTAACCAGCAAACCTACAATTTAACAGTTGGTGCATTCATTACTATTTATCTTTTTTTTACACGAAAATTATAAAACAAAATAAATTGCAGAAAATTATAAAATTAACTGTTCTGCTTCTATAATTACTGGTTGCCAGTTCATTCACTTTTTTGTTTATTTAAACTTTTCCTTTTTCACCTACATAAAAAATAAAACTAACAATTTTGTTTTTTGTGGGTGGTTGGGCAATGGAGGGTGGTAGTTGGTTTAGTTCTTTTGACCCCTTTAGATAAAATTGAGTGATTTGAGTAAATGAACTCGAACTTGTGTCAAGTGACCAATTTCAAATTAGTTTGGCAATGGTCGTTAGATCGAGCTTGTCACATATGATTAATTTAGTGTGATTTGTATTTCTCGTATAATCTGCAAGATATATACTACCCTGTGCATGTATACAATTGGTTGCATGTTCCTTAATTAACAAATAATAATAATTAATAATAATAATAATCTTTCTTGCTCAGTCAATGCAATTAAGATGAAAATTTTGAATTTGATAAAAAAAAAATTACTTTACTTTTAAAGTTTGAACACACCATCAGTTCAAAAAATTAGTCAATTCAAGAATGATAGTTTTGAAATTTATTGTGAAATGTTTTTTTCTTCAACATTTTTTTATGAAATTCACTATATAAAATTTGGGATCCTTATATTCAAAAGTTTCATCAGCTCTCAACAAGAAAGCTTTTGAAAGTTCCATTAGTTTACAATAATTTTTTTGTTGTCTTTAATGAATATATATGATAATGTAATGTAAATAATTTCAAACGTAACAACCCTAGAACCACGTGTGTGGTATTAAACAATTCAAGGCAAATACAACAACAAAATAAAAAATAAAAAACACTGTTTATTAATTAAAGGGTGTATGTAAATGTACCACGAAAACTTCAACTTCTCAACGTATTTGTATTTTAGATATATTTCGTGTCCAACATTAAAGGAATGTTGTCGTATCCTTTGATTGGTAGTAATAGTAATCAAATCAAACTGTGTTTTTTTTTTCTTTTTCTTCATGCATTCTTGAATTCATGTGATATATTGAACATATAAATTAGCAATTTCATTTTACCTTTTGCCATAATCTGTTTGGGATAATCACAATAATATATATATATATATATATATATATATACTTCCGGGTGAAGCAAAAGGTATATGTGCGTACAGCTTTATTAGTCGCAATACCAATACGTCACCGTTTATTATTCTATTTTATCTTTATGACACGTGTCATCTTAATACAATGGCAAAGCCTACTCTTTTTTCCCGGTGTAGATAAAACTTGACTTTGACACCTTAAATTAAGTCGCATTCCATATTGACAATAGTGCATTTTGTCACTTGGAATTTCCAGATTTTGATATATACAACACTTTCATTCAATTATCTATTATTGGTATGTGTGTTTTCATATTTTACTTAATTTAATTCTTGAAATTCCTCGAATATTCATTATTCATAGTTGAAATGTCGATCACTAATCCATATATGCTCCATCTTTTCTATTATATCTGTCTCTTTTGAGAAAATCTTTTTGTTTCATATTATCTGTCATTTTACAAAACGGATGCTGTAGTAATTGCTTATTTTTTAATTTTACCCTTATTAACTCTATAGCACTCTTCCTGCATTAATTAATAAACATGGGTATTTTGGTCCATCAATATCTATTTTCCTAAAATCAAGACATATTTATTGAGATTTTTAAGATTTGTGCAAAAGTGAAAAAATCACCTATTTAGAAATGAAGGAAGTAACGAGTAACACATTAAATGGAAAAAGATATATCATAACAAATAGCTTTTAATTAGGTTTCTTAATTAACATGCCAAAAAGATACGTTAAGGGTCAAAATACATGAGCAAAATTTATGAATTATTGTGCATTACCTATTTTATAATAGAAAATCTTTTAACCCTCCACGTGAGGAGTCATGAACACATATTCATACATAATGGTTTGGTGGGAATCCCTTTTTTAACAATGAAGTAAAAGTGAGAATTTTGTATTTTTATTGGTATTATTGGAGATGTCAAATATTAAATAAAATCATAATATTTAATTAATTATGATTAATCTTTACAATCAAACGAGGCCTTAATAATTTATCTGAAGTAAAAAATAGTTAGTCCACAATAGTTTATATCACAGGTACAATTTCAATAAACATAGCCTTAATAAATAGGAACTACGAATAGAAAGCCAAAAAGAACTCAAAATTATATTATTATTATTATTATTATAAGTACATCCTAACATTATTGTAAGCAAATCTTTTAATACAAAAACAAGTAAAGACTAAAGACCCCCATTGTATAATTTTAACAATATATATTTAAAAAAAGAAAGATTAAACTAATAATAATTTTCCTCTATTGAATTTTGAGATAGACCAGCTTCCAATCATTTTTACATTAAAATTACCAATTTTTGGTTGCTAAATTTAAATTTAGAATATTTTGCATCCATTAAAAGAAAAAGAAAAGGAAAAGCAAACGAAGAAAGTCGGAGAAAGAATTAGGTAGTGAGCTTAAAATACACAGTGCGACTGTGTTACCATAATTTCCAATATAATAAATAGAGAATAAATAAAATAAATTAATTAATTAATGAATTAAGGAAAAAAGAAAAAGGAAATTAACTGCGCCATGTTGCCACCTTCTCCCACCCCCCCTCTCAAATTAAACACCACCCCTCTCATCTTTCTCTCTCTAGAATCACATAATCTCTCTCTCTCTCTCTCTGAACCCATTTTTCTAACCCATTTCCTCACAAAACCCCATCCCCAACCTATACGCACAGACCTGTATCTATAGCTTGGTATACATACACGTGCATCTCACCACAGACACAGACGCACGCACTGCGAGTTTGTAGGGGATTACGACTGGCGAAGCTTCAATTTCACGGCGGTTTCTCGAGGGTTTTTGATTCGAAATATTTTTGCAGATGAAATTCGTTTCTGCTTATTCCGGCCATCTGATGTGATGACTATTCTCGTCATCATCAGCCCATGGCTATCTCCAAGCGTGGTTTCACACTTTCGCGATGTGTGATAGGATTGGTGGTCGTCCTGTTGCTGCCAATCTTCACAAACCCTAGTTCGAATCTCGGTTCGTCGGAGCCGCAATTTGACTTGGATTTCGACTCCGATATTCTCTTGTTCCACCAGGACTACACGCCGCCGGCGCCGCCCCCTCCGCCGCCTCATCCGCCGTCGCTCTCCTGCGAGTCCGATCTAGGCGGCGTTGGTTCATTAGACACCACCTGCCAAATAGTCTCCAATGTGAACATATCAAAGGATGTGTACGTAGAGGGCAAGGGTAACTTGGTAATTTTTCCTAACGTCACTCTGAATTGCTCGTCGTTTTCTGGATGCGAGCTTGCAATAAATGTCACCGGAAACTTTACTTTGGGCGAGAACTCCTTGATATTATGTGGCACTTTTGAGTTAGCCTCAGATAATGCTTATTTCGGGAATGGTTCTGCTGTAAATACTACTGAGTTGGCCGGTTCGCCGCCGACGCAGACTAGTGGGACTCCACAGGGAGTGGATGGAGCAGGCGGGGGACATGGGGGCAGGGGTGCAGCGTGTTTAAAGGATAAAAGTAAGCTCCCTGAAGATGTGTGGGGAGGAGATGCCTATTCGTGGTCGAGTTTGGGGAAGCCATGGAGTTACGGGAGTAAAGGAGGGACCACAAGTAAGGAAGTTGATTATGGAGGTGGAGGAGGAGGGAGGGTAATGTTCTTGGTTTCGAGGCTTTTGGAGGTGAATGGCAGCGTTTTAGCTGATGGAGGCGATGGAGGTGCCAAAGGTGGAGGAGGGTCTGGAGGGAGCATCTACATCAAGGCTTATAAGATGTAAATTTTTGGTTACTCTCTTGTTACAATTTTGTTTTCTGCTTTTGGTTAAGGTTAAATCATACTAGACGATTCTGGTTTTAGTTCTAGTGAGAACGCATGGTTGTTAATCTAGAAAATTGTTTTATGGTTATGATTTGATGGCAAATGGATGATATAGTTTCAGTGGACTTCCAAGTTAAAGTACGTGGTTGTAATTTGTACATCTACTTGTTCTGAACTTGTATGGGTCAGAACGACAGTATGATTTGAATTGATTTGATACGTAGAGCATCAGTATCACACTTAGCATGATTTCCTTTCTCGTGGTTTTGTTTATGACATTCTAACATTCTAACCATATCATTATCTTCGCTGAATGTTGTTGTTGTGTAATTCTTCGCAATATCTTGAGTTCCTCTAATGGTGATTGATATTAAGAGTCTACTGGGGCTAACCTGGTTCTTATCTATCTAAGATGTCGTACATGTAGGTTACTTGTTTTGTGGTTCGTTTATCATCCTGCTGAATCCATTCTTTCTCAAGAACCTGCTAGCCAAAAACTAGGATAGCAGCGAAGATTCTGTCATCTCATCCAAGCTTGTTTTTCTTGAACACATCATGCCATGGCAAGCTTGTTTCGCAGTGTCGTATATATTTCCAACAGTCAGAAATCAAATGTTCCTTTAGGATATTCTGTATCATAGACTCTATTACCTCTCACATATCATATTTACTCACCGATAACTCTGAAATACAACTTCGATAACAAGAGTTTCGGCTAAGACCATATGACTTACCATCCGTGTGTTACATTATAATATTATTTAATTACTAGTTTGTCCATCTCCGAGCATTCATGAGCTTGATTTTCGTTCTCTTTTAAATATCACTGAAATCGTGCATGAATCCCATAGTTACACCAAGCTTTGATTTGAATTGCACTGATAACATCTTTTTTTTTTGTTGTTGTGAATAATGCTATGTATGTTCCTTGTTTTCTAGCATTTCTAATGATCTATTACCTTGTCCTATTGTTTTTCCTACATCGATTCATTTTTATTTTTCAGGTGATCATGTATTATTGTCTACTTTGTTATCTATTCAGAAGTATCTGCTTTGTCTGAAGTCACTTGAAAGCGTTGGAGTTCATCTGATTTATTTTAACCTTATTATTTCTTGTGATGTGCAGGATTGGAATTGGCAGAATTAGTGCTTCTGGGGGTAATGGTTTTGCTGGAGGCGGTGGTGGTAGAATTTCAGTTGATATATTCAGCAGGCACGACGAACCAGTCATTGCTGTACATGGTATGACCTGTGATATATTTCTCTTTTTCATTTTGGGTTTTAGGCCATAAATTTTTTCTATTACTTTTGCTTGTGCAATATGTATATTAAAATAGTAGCTAGATATTGTGCCGATGATCTTAGATGTAAAATTCAACCTAATAAAAGGTTTATCATGTGACTGCCCTGCTGTCCTGGTGAAATCGAGACACAAGCTATTATTGTGCTTTGTTTTCTCCATCAGCAACTTCATATGTTATTCCTTTTTCGTTATCTTTTCATGGGAGGTGGGAGATAGAAAAGGTGACTGGAGTATTATGGCACCAATTTTAAATGTACCATGTTCTGGTTCTTCTATTTATGGCATTTGGAAAAGACTGTGTTAGCTATTTAAGGTTTGATTATTGTAGTAAGTGGAATTTGATTTTTGCATATCTGAAAGCTCAACATAATATTGCTATATGATTCGAAAAAAAAATTAGTTATGGATAATGACAAAACATAAATAAAAAAAGATAGTCAATTTGTTGTTTTGCAAAGGCGGCATTCTGGGGTGGAATGGTGATCAAAAGACAATTTTCAATCGTTTAGTAACTAACTTATAGGTTAATTCAGCTTATTTACTTACCCTGTTTCTGACCATCATGTACGGTAAAATATGCCATGTGGCTAATTTCAGGCATGCCCTAATGATTGTAAATTACTTTCTGTGCCTTGGCCTAAAGTGCATGACTTGAAGCAATATCTAGTAATATAATGAAAGTGCGCGCTTAAACTATTAAGCATCACATTTTCTTTATGTGAGACCGAGTGTTGAGCCAGTTAAGCTTTTATATCCATATCTTCATTGCAGGTGGAAGTAGTCTTGGTTGCCCAGAAAATGCTGGTGCAGCGGGTACATTTTATGATGCTGTTCCTCGCAGCCTTACTGTCAGCAATCATTACAAATCCACATATACGGACACACTCCTGATGGACTTCCCTCAACCTTTTTTAACGAATGTCTACATCCGGAATCAGGCCAAGGCTGCAGTCCCCTTGTTGTGGAGCCGCGTCCAGGTCAGTGAAATTTCTGTTGTTAGTTTTATATCCTGTTGGCAAAGATCACTCTCTGCAGTATATCCTGTTGGTAATGATAGATCTGTTGGATACCGTCTTTGGCACCTTTACAAAGCTATTTAGGTTCTTGTCATTTATATGGAGGCACAATTTCTTGTACATAAGAATCTAATTTGGTCCTGTTCATCATCAAGGTTCAAGGACAAATCAGCCTGTTGTGTGGAGGTGTCTTGAGCTTTGGGCTTGCACATTATTCCATGTCCGAGTTTGAACTATTGGCAGAAGAGCTCTTAATGAGTGATTCTGTAATTAGAGTAAGTGATAATTTTTCAACTTATTGTAAATTCGTGGAATTGTTGGCTTTTTATTTTTTTATTTTTTAGTAGCTTTTGTTAACATCAACTATATAAACTGTAGCGAATCATTGTATGACTTCTTCTTGGGTAACGTTGAGCTTTTATACTAGCACTTCTCTCTCTGCTGTAATGCATTTATCAAGCTAGATATATGAGAGGTATATGATTTTTTCATTTCCATCATTTTCTAGGTGTTTGGGGCTCTTCGCATGTCTGTTAAAATGTTCTTAATGTGGAACTCGTCAATGTTAATTGATGGTGGTGGAGATGAAAATGTTGAGACATCATCACTTGAGGCTAGTAATCTCATAGTCCTCAGGGTAAGTAACCTACTCATTAGCATAGCATTGTGCTCTTAGCATATTCATACATGACTTAGCTGTCTATTTTCTTTTGGCAGGAATCTTCCCTTATTCATTCAAATGCCAACCTGGGAGTCCATGGGCAAGGTTTACTAAATTTGTCTGGACCAGGAGACTGCATAGAAGCTCAACGTCTAGTTTTGTCATTGTTCTATAGCATCAATGTAAGCAACCACTTAATTTTTCTTTTTCATCTGTTATTTATTTAAATATGTCTGTCAACTTGAAAAACTTTTTATTGTAGATGGCTCCTTCATTTTTCTTGTTTCTCCTGGAAAATACCGCTACCACTGACCTTATATATCTAGTTTTTAGATCTGAAGCTGATGAACTTCTTTCTCTTTTCCCCTTTGATGTGCTTTTAGTTTCTGGTTCTTTGCAATATTGTAGTCGTCTGTATCTATGAGGCAATCGGTTCTCGGCTTCTCGCAACACCTCATTTAGTTACTAGCTGAATTTTGAACCTCTGACCTCCAGTATGTTCTATTACTCATAGACAGCATAGACACACTTGTCATAATTCTCATGCTATTTAAGCATATCACATCAGATAGTTTGTGATTATCATTTGACTTATACCGCTTTCTCAGTGTCCAAACTTCATAAAAAAATGAGAGAAGTAAGGATTGAAATTTTGTCTGTTTGGTTTCTTATTCAGCTTGATTGATCATTATCTTCACTTATGGGGATTTTGAGTGGCATGCCATTCAGATATATGTAATTTGATAATTTGCTTTCTTTGCTAGATATCCCAATTATATTTCTCCATAGATTGTCCTCTTGTTTTGACGCCCTTGTTAAGTTCTCTCTCTTTGTGGATTTCTCTATTTTCTTTTTTCGCATAGTGTTCTGTTGTATCTTGAATAAATGGATGTCATAAACTAGGTGTTTTCTATGTAGCAATCTCCTACAACAAATAAATACAGTTAATAAAAATGTGAACTGCTTGCTTCATTTGATGAAACCAGTGGCCTTAAACCATAGAACATGTTAGTCTTTTGTTGATGTAACCGAGCATTTGTTGCATCAAGGTGTATTTCTTACTTCTCTTCGTCTAACTGGAGAAGATTCTACTCAGTTTTAACCGAATTATTTCGCCTTCAACTTGGATGCCTATTGACTTGGCATCTGGCATTATTTGAAGTATTGTTGTCTGATAGATATTGGCACAATTATAGGTAGCATATGCAGCATAAATTATATGTGGTTAATTGTTTTTTTTCCTTGCTTCCATTACTCATGTTGTGCTGAAGATTGGACCTGGATCTGCTCTTCGTGGTCCCTTAAAAAATTCCTCAGACGATGCTGTGTAAGTTGAACTCATATTTAAATAACATCAGAATGTGTTATTCTTGATTTATGATGATAATTGTTTTTTGTTGCCCTTTAGGATACCGAAACTTTATTGTGATTCAGAAGATTGTCCTGCTGAACTGCTTAGTCCACCTGAAGATTGTAATGTGAATTCTTCTCTGTCCTTTACCCTACAGGTGCATAGTTACTGTTTGGAAGTCGTGATTTTGTTTTTCTCCATTTATGTGTCGCTTACAACCTACTGCTTTCTCTTTTGCTGTTTTCGTACCCAGCTATGCCTGCTTGCACAGGATCTTAAAAATATTTCTTTTTGTGTTATGCAGGTCTGTCGAGTTGAGGATATCCTGGTCGAAGGTTCTGTTGAAGGATCTGTTGTTCATTTCCATAGAGCCAGAACCATTACTGTCCAGTCTTCTGGAATTATAAGCACATCGGGAATGGGTAAGATCCTGGCTCTCCTGCATGATGTATATTGCCCTTCTTTCTCTCTAAATCATGGATATCCTAAGAAGTCTCTCCACGTCTCGATTTTGTAATAGTTTCTGCTATTCCTCTGCATTCTTGAATCAATGAACCATGCATAAAATATTTTTGGAGGTTTGATCCTTGTGATTGAATCACATGACAATCTAGGATCTGGTATTTATGCAGGCTGCCATGGTGGTGTTGGTCAAGGAGTAGTATTGAGTAATGGTCTTGGTAGTGGTGGCGGACATGGTGGCAGGGGTGGAATGGGCTGTTATAATGGAAGCTGCATTGAGGGCGGAATATCGTACGGAGATGCTAATTTACCTTGTGAACTGGGTAGTGGAAGCGGAAATGATAGCTTGGCCATGTCAACTGCTGGTGGTGGTATCTTGGGTGAGCTAAAGTTTTTCAGCTGATTGATTGTGTTTTGTTTTCTTCTACCACATGGTATAAAAAATGGAACTATTTTTTGTTTTTGTATGTTCAATCAAATGCTTTCATTCTCATAAAAATTCAAGATATTTCACATTGTCTCAAAGATTGCTAGAAAATGGGCTAGGTTGGTATTCAGCTGACATCTATTGCTGAAAATACTTGCCAGTCCTTCGATTATCTAATTATTTGTTGTTGTTTGTCCTTTTCATGCAGTGATGGGATCTTTCGAGCATCCCTTGATGAATTTATATGTTGAAGGTTCTGTTAGAGCAGATGGAGACAGCTATAGAGGGAGCCTCCAAAAGAAGAATGCCTCCATTGATAATGTGGATATTGGTCTTGGGGGTGGATCTGGTGGTACAATCTTGTTATTTTTGCGCTCTATGGTTCTCAGTGGATCTGGCAATTTATCTAGTATTGGAGGTCACGGTAGCCTGAGCGGTGGTGGTGGCGGAGGTGGCGGAAGGATTCATTTTCACTGGTCGGACATTCCCACTGGCGATGTATATTGGCCCCTAGCTACAGTCAATGGAACAATTTATACAGGGTTAGTAAATATACTTTTCCTTCTACAGATGCTGATGCATGCCAAGTTTTGTAGTTGTAGTACTGACTGGAATTTAGTTATATTCTTGAATTTGTTGCCTCCCATTTTACTCTAGCTTTAAGCTTCTTTGTGTAATTTTTTCGTTCTTTTACACTTAGAAGTGATTTTAGAGTCCCTTCTATGACTATGGTCTTAATTATATTTTTGTGATTGATTTCACCTTGACCAGGATCTGGTCAATCTTTGGAGTTATTCATGTAATGTTCTATGGAGGAAAATCATTCGACTACATTAAAATTGTGCAGATCTATGTGTTCATAATAATTAAGTTTGCTTGTAATTCTGGCAGAATCGTCCAGGAAAATGAGCTATGTGAATAATGTGAGATGGGAGGAGTATCTTGTGCAAATGGTGCCATGTCACTGAAAACCCTTTTACTTATCAGTAATTAGGCAGAGCCTGATGCACGCGACAGTCATTTAGGAAGAATATAATTTATCTTATATTATTCTAATTCAATTTTGCATAATATTACTTAATATTCATCTTATTTTTGTGTTTTTCCTGTTTCTGTTCTATAATATCCTCTGTGGTAGAAGTCAAGACCTATTGACACTCTATGTCAATGTTAGAGTAAGTAAGGCTACGAGTTCAGTAGCTGGCTGTCCATTTTTAGGAAATAAAAGTTTGGGTGACATTGCTGATTAGACCCTGAAGTCCTGTATGAGGAACATATCCTCTGCTTTCTTTAAAGCTGTTGTGTCCTTTAGTTATGTTATTTTTATATCTGCTCACGATGCCTGTTTTATATTTTTGACACCTACTTCCATGTGTTTTGGTGGGTGTTGTATCTGAACACACTGTTAAGGAAGAAACTGTAAACCAAAATTGGTAGTCCTGAGCTCCTTCTCCATACAGTAATAATATGTATAGCCTATCCCCTGGAATAAATATATTATTTTTTTGTCAGCAACTAACTGTTCATATTTCGGAAACCATTGTCTACACGTACAGATTTTGTAGGTTACATTTTCCTATGATATTGATTTCCTGTTTTTATCATAGGGGTGGATTAGGTGGCAACCAAAGTCAAATGGGCGAAAATGGAACAGTCAGTGGAAAAGCTTGCCCAAAGGGGCTTTATGGAATTTTCTGTGAGGTAGTTGGCTATTCATTTCTTGTCAGCTATCTTTCAATTTTACCGTTAATTTTCTTCAATTCATTTGTCCCAAGTCTTTTGATTTTCAAGAGGTGTTTGGTAAGAGTTAAATTTGGAAGTTAAAGCCATACTATGGATTTTATTAAGTACTCGCTACAAAATGTACCTCTTCCTCCAAAATTGAAGCTCTCATTGATCCGGCATGGAGCCCTAGATGGGAGTTGAAAACATTAAATTTTGTGTATCTTCTGAATGCTGCTCTTAGAAGTAGTAATTCAAAGATAGTACTTTAAAATAACTATTGAAATAATTTCATTTTAGTAAATGAGACTTCCAACAAAGGAAGCAGGAGCAATAAATTTGGGACAGGGAGAATATTTTTTACCATGAACATTTATGGTTTAACTGAATTGATGATATATTTTACTCGCCGATAGTCATAATGTAGTCTAGTATGCAAGACGTTCAAGATGTCATCTAATTGCTTTGTTGGTTTTTATATTTCTCAATTGTCTTAGTATTGAATGTAGCTCCTTTATTTCTTTCCTTCAATAAAGTGAAAATTTCCCATCAAATACAGCAAAGTAGGTGGAATTTTCTCCAGTCTGTATTGGATATCTGATAATAAATCTGGAGTTTTCTCCAATTTGTATCAGAGATTTATTCATGAGTATTTCTTAAATGTCTGCAGGAATGTCCAGCTGGTACTTATAAAAATGTCACAGGATCTGATGGATCCCTCTGTTTTTCATGCCCAAATCATGAGCTTCCCAATCGTGCAGTTTATGTTAATGTCCGAGGTACGTTAAATCGAGAGAATTATGTGGTCTCTATTGATCCTTCCCGTTATTATACATGTCGTAGTAATCTTTTATGTTTTCCTATTTTTTTTAAATTCTTTTTACTAACCTCAAGTTTTGGCATTTTGTTCTTGATAGTTAAAAATGTTCCTACCTTCTAGTTTTATTTTCGTTTTGTGAATGTAAAATGTTAGCTTAAAGGTGTCTGTTTGATGCAGGTGGTATTACTGAAACACCATGTCCTTACAAATGTATTTCTGATAGATATCACATGCCACACTGTTATACTGCTCTTGAAGAGTTGATATATACATTTGGAGGACCCTGGTTGTTTGGGCTCCTGCTTTTGGGTCTTCTCGTATTACTAGCCTTGGTGCTAAGTGTTGCACGAATGAAGTTCATTGGGGTCGATGAGTTACCGGGTCCTGCTCCTACGCAACAGGGCTCTCAAATAGATCATTCATTCCCTTTCCTGGAGTCTCTTAATGAGGTATTTAGTTTTATATAATACAGTGACTATTGAATCATGGATATGAAGTGCTGCTATTTTATTTATATCTTCATAGCCATCATTTTGATGATCAAGAAAGAAAATTTAAGAATGTTTTCCAATCAGGTTTTGGAAACTAATAGAGTGGAGGAGTCTCAGAGCCACGTGCACAGGATGTACTTTATGGGTCCAAATACATTTAGTGAACCTTGGCATCTTCCTCATACCCCTCCTGAGCAAATAAAAGAAATAGTGTAAGTTCTTTATCATTTTCCAGGTTGTCAGTTTCTTATTCCATCAAGTGAGTATCAACTTTCAACCATCACTTCCGTGACATGATATTTTATTTGATTTGCATCCCTTTATTATTTCATTCCTCACTTATGCGGAAGATTGATATATGCTTTTCCGGATTCTGTTGTCGGCCAAATACTGCACACCTGGAAAAATATCTAAACTTTATTCTCCATTTGCAGTTATGAAGGTGCATTTAATACATTTGTGGATGAGGTCAATGCTCTTGCTGCATATCAGTGGTGGGAAGGCTCAGTGCACAGTATGCTTTGCGTTCTTGCTTATCCTTTTGCATGGTCGTGGCAACAATGGAGGAGGAGAATGAAGTTGCAGAAAATACGTGAATTCGTTCGATCTGAATATGACCATTCTTGTTTACGTTCTTGTCGTTCACGTGCTCTTTACGAAGGGCTTAAGGTAAATTTCTTAAACTTTGGTTAAATTCACATGGATTATAGATCCCATTTCATATTCAGGAAGAGTATAGAAGTATTTTTTATTATTAGTTTCTCAGTGTGGTATAACTACCAAGTACCAAGTCTTCCCAGAGAAACATTTACTGATGGTTCACCTTGTTTTGACTGTCAAAGGCATGAAGTTTCAACTATTCGTTTGTATTTTCAAACTAAAAATTTCTTCCAATTTTTTATTTTTTATTTTTTTTAATATGCACTCACTGCTATTCAATTTTTTTTTTTTATGTCAATGAAGCAACATGCAATTGTGAACAAATTAGCCATTTTGATCCTTCTCTCTTGTTTTGTTCTCTTGGCCGGGTGGATAGAGATTTTGCCCGTCATGCTATGTGTCATTTCCATTTTACTATTGAATTTGTTCTCAGTCAGATATTTAGTTCATTTTTTCTTTCTAAAAACGTCACTATCTGTTTGTGATGAGACTTCGTTTTAAGATTTTTCCAGTGCCCTCATACGCATGTCTCTTCTATAGTCCAATTCGTTTAGCTTCGTTGTAAAAAAAAAACTTGAAAAAGTTGAAGCTTTTAGCGTATCACTAATTCATTTTTTCAACTGTAGGTTGCTGCAACACCAGATATAATGCTAGCGTATGTTGACTTTTTTCTCGGTGGTGATGAAAAGAGACATGATCTTCCTCCTCCTCTCGATCAAAGATTTCCAATGTCTCTATTATTTGGGGGTGATGGAAGTTATATGACTCCTTTTTCACTTCATAATGACAATATTATCACCAGTCTCATGAGTCAGGTAGTTGTTTTATCTCTGGAAATAGAAAACATTTTTGTTTGAATTACAAAAAAATTGAATAAAAAATTCGCATGTGATCTTGATATTCTACTGGTTTAACCTTTTCTTTCAGTCTATCCCACCTACCACATGGTATCGCTTTGTGGCGGGTTTGAATGCACAGTTGCGCTTGGTAAAAAGGGGTTGCCTTAGGGCAAAGTTTCGCCCAGTGCTTCGATGGCTTGAAACTTTCGCAAATCCTGCATTAAGGGTCTACGGTGTGCATGTTGACCTGGCTTGGTTCCAAGCTACAACTAATGGCTATTGTCATTATGGACTTCTGATATATGCTGTTGAAGAAGTGGACAATATGTCATTAGGATGTCATGATGGAGAATCTGAAGATGAACAGCATTCAAGGTATGTGTCTTTGCTAGCATTGGAGCAGATATACATACAGAAATGATTTGGTTGAATATGCAGATCCATGCTTTATTTGTATGTATGTCTATATACATATATATTCATGAATAGATTGGTATTCGAAAGCACTTGTGAAGTTGTGATGTTACTGTATGATTATATGATTTTGAAAGGTTTTTTATAGTAAATATAATATGATCATATAATTTCGCATGGGTTTTTCTGATCTTTATGAGCTTTCTGGTTAGTTATTTACAATTGTTTATTTTTCATTCTCTCCATCTATAATGAAGGAATTGCAAATGCCGCTTGCAATAAGCCAAGTGATTATTCATGCTCTAAGTGTTTCTTCCTTTATTATCTGCCAATCGTGTTAGTATTCAAACTTCAATTGTGTAACATTTTGATGAACAAATGTGTGTGCCTAGAGAAATTGGTGATACTTAAAGCCTTTTTTCATGTTTTCATGCATGTGAGGTTAATTTAGAATGTCTGGCCGCATTTAGTGCATTAGTATGTAATAAACTACTTTAAAAAGATAAACCTCGTTAACAAGTTTTTCATCTATACTTTTTTTCATTTGATACAGTGCCGACGGTAACTATCTGAAAGATGAGACCACAAATAAGACTTACTTGGGCAGGTCTCAGACAAGTGCTGAAGGTAACCTGAGAAGGAAGGTTTATGGTGGGATTCTAGATGTTAGCAGTTTGAAGGTGCTTGAGGAGAAAAGAGATATATTTTTTGTCCTCTCTTTTCTAATCCACAACAGTAAACCTGTTGGCCACCAGGTATGTATAGATATATATCTCTCTCTGAACTTTGTGTCTTGTAGACATGATATTGATGTGTTCTTTTAGAAGTAGTTTCCTGAAAATGCATGCTTTATAATATGTTGTTGTGGTGCAGGATCTTGTGGGTTTGGTAATATCAATCCTGCTACTCGGAGATTTTAGTCTAGTATTGCTCACATTACTACAGTTGTATTCATTTTCCCTGGCGGATGTCTTTCTTGTTCTGTTTGTTACACCCCTTGGCATATTACTACCCTTTCCTGCTGGAATCAATGCTCTATTTAGTCATGGACCAAGGAGACCAGCAGGTCTTGCACGCGTGTATGCTTTGTGGAATGTCACTTCCTTGATAAACATTGTAAGTTGCTTCTTATTCAATCTCTTAATTCAACAATTCTTTCCCCCACTATTCTTAATTTCGTATATAACTGATATCACCGACTTTATCTTGATGAAATAATACAACAATACTCTTTGAATATATATTGTTTGACTAGTGCTGTTTTCATCAATATTAATTGAATGGAATGAGTTTCTTTTTGGATATCCGCTAATGCGTTAATCAGCCAAAAGGAACTTGCTTTTGTGAAATAACATTGTAACCTAAAAAATTCATATGATACTACTTCGGACCATGTAGGCTTCTTCAGGTAAATGTGCTTAGCGTTCTTATTACTTACGTGGTCTTTTTATTATTGGCTTACCCAGGTTGTCGCATTCGTTTGTGGTTATGTTCACTATCGCACGCAATCTAGTAGGAAACTTCCATTTCAGCCATGGAATATGTGAGTTGAATTTCAATCCATTTGAACTTTCGTTTTTTGCCCATTTGCATCTTATTATCATAGGTGTTCTAATACGGTGGTATACCTTTGTTTTCTGACTGCAGGGATGAAAGTGAATGGTGGATTTTCCCTTTTGCACTTGTTTTGTGTAAATGTATCCAATCGAAGCTCGTAAATTGGCATGTTGCAAACTTGGAAATCCAGGACCGTTCATTGTATAGCAATGACTTTGACTCGTTCTGGCAGTCATAGGATATAAGGAGATTATTCCACACGAACACCCATCAATTTTTTCTATGGGTTTTATTTTGATGTTTCATTTATGCTAATCGTTTAGAGAATAGTGGTTGACACAGGAGTAGAAACAAAGTTGAATGCAAAGAAGGCGGAAGAATGAGAGAGAGCAGAGCTGAGCTGAGGCCTTTATTTTGTAGCCTTGTTTTGTGCAGTTGTGTTCATTCCTTTTGTCATGTAAATATTAAATGGGATATTCCCACCGTATCTTAACTATGCACTAGTTTGACGAGGTGACTAGGATTGTAGACGCACTACTACTGTACACAGAATAAACAGATGCACTGAACAGCACAACGCGCACACTGAAAAAACACACTACACCTAGAACTAGAACACGCACTAAGAAAAGCACACTACACCTGTAAACACGCACTAAAAAACTCACATTCGGAAAAACACAGTACATCTAAAACACGCTCTAGGAAAAATAAACACTACACTTAAAACATGCACTAAAAAAAACACATTCGAAAAAACACATTGCACCTAAAACACACTACACCTAAAATAAACCACATAAAAACACACTAAGAAAAAAAACACCACCTAAAACATGCACTAAAAAAGCACACATTCGAAAAAACACGTTACACCTAACCCACGCACTAAAAAAATACACTACACCTAAAACATGCACTAAAAAAACACATTGGAAAAAAAAACACTACATCTAAACACACACTTGAGAAAAAACACACTACACCTAAAACATGCACTAAAAAAACTCTTTTCCAAAAAACACACTGCACCTAAAACAAACACTGAAAAAAAAATATGCATTTGAAAAAACACACTGCACCTAAAACACACATTGAAAAAAACACACTACACCTAAAACGCACACTAAGAAAAAACACACTACACCTAAAACACGTACTAGAAAAATACACATTTGGATAAACACACTACACCTAAATCACACACTAAAAAAAACACACTACACCTATTACACCTCCGAAGAACACGCACTGATACACACACTAAATGATAGCATGCGCAGTTTTATTCTTTTGTTTTTCCATGTAAAATATCAGATTAAGTTTTATAAGGTTCATATTTGTCTGTAGACTTTTTAATATGAATATAAAATATAATAATTTTTAAGTCTAAGTTACGGTGGTTAAAAAACTGAGTTTAATAGAATCACACTTGTTTTTGGTCATATTATTTAGTAATTTCACATTTATTATTGAGACACGCACACAATCTATTAATATTCTTTTGATGTAGTCTATAATTTTTTGTTTGTTGAGTTTTTATTAAAAGCAGCTGTATTTGGTCGGCTTTACGTGTCATAATTACATCCATCTCTTTCATCCACAGCACACTGCAGTAACACAGACTACATCAAAAGAATGCATGAAGAAAATACAGTCAGAACCACACTACACAAAACACACTCTACATCAAGAAAAAATATACTGAAACACACACTAACACGTATTACACATAAGACACCAAATACCAAACTACAACACACACATACTAAACCACAGCACACAAAAACACAATGAAACACATTACATCAAGAACACAATTAAATGTCAGTCTGAGGACACACACTACACCGAGAACACGCACTACATCAAGAAAATGGACTGAAACATATATTACACCACGACAACACACTGAATGCACACACAACACAGAACATACTAAATTACACGGGCAAGAAAACAACACACAATAACACATTGGAACACACATTACAGCAAAAACAACTCAAATTGCCAAAGTATCATAATCCAAGGATTAAAACACACACACTAAAACACAAATACAAGCACACGCTGAAACACAATCACTAAACCCACACGAACAGACATCACAGAGACACACGAACACGCATCAGATGACAAAGACTAGTACAAATGGAATTGTCATTTCACTATGACTATTCTTCAACTTTCTTCAGATTGTTAAACTTCCTGAAAGAATCCTGGAGATAACAGGTTTAACGAGGCAATGTATGTATTTCCTGTGAGTTACAGCATTAAACATGAGGAGCTATTATAATAAAAGAGGGATTGACATAGAACGGACCTTGTTACATCCTTGAAAATTTCCACAATTTTGACCCCACGATTTTCAGGTTTAGGAAATTACCTTGAATTTATCCAATATTCAGGAAATTTGACCTCTAGTAAAATACACCATCATTTTAAGAAACTGAAGAAAAGGGAAGAGGAAACTTCCTGTAACCATCCTCTGTTCTCCTACAAATGTCCCACGGCTTGACTAAGACAATGGAATCGGTTGATGAAACTGGAAAACGAGAGGTAAGGGAATCATGGTTGATGGATGGGGACGGAAGGCAGGTGTGCAGGCTGGAGAGGGGAGCAGGGGTGGACATTGGATAAACAAGTTTTTGTGAGTTTCAGTTAATGTGTGTGTGTGTGTGTGTGTGTGTGTGTGTGTGTGTGTGTGTGCAAGCATGTTCTTGGCTACAATAGGACAAACCAGTATCTCAGAGGGAAAGGGGAAAGGAAGGTGGATGAGAGGGAGTGACGGCATTTTAGAAGATTTAAGATTGTGATACTAAGTGATTACATACAGTGTAGACATTATGGATGTGAAATGAGAATTTTGTGAATGTAGAAATAGCAGCTTCCCTTCTGCAACAAAATTCCATCTGCAAACGACTTCTCTGTTAGAAGTATGTATACTAAAAGATTTTCGACATAAAAATTTAAAAGCTATTTTTTAACAAGAAGTTACTGCTCGCATGAAAGGAAGAGTGTTTTTTTAACACTAGTAGACATTTGGTAGTTCTCCAAACTCAATCTTTGAAAAAGTTATGTCAGCTTAGCAAGAAAGTGTAACCCCAATACCCTGGGCTTTGTTTTGCAAACCAAAGGTCATAGTACAAAATGGAATGTATGAGGCTTCATACTTCTTAAAGATATTAGTTGGTTACCTTGTGGTAACTAAATAGATTTGGTTACTTTGACCGAAACTCAATATCCACATTTGGTCAAACCCTATTTCCATGGACGGTTTATTTCAACCCTCAATAATAATTGGAGAGTTACTCCAAATGCAAACCTGATCACATCTATCAACTGGCATGCCCAAGACTTGTTATTGAAGCACTGGCTGAGACTCGACGAAAAAGCATTTCCTGTAAATCTCTATCTGGTAATACTGAAGAGTGAAGAATATTACTGAACAAAGAACAAGTTCTAACAATCACAATTAAAGTTAAAATCACATATATATATATTTATACATGTGACAATAAAACTTCAGGTCAATCTAAAAGTGAAAAAAAAAATACAACGTATAGAGAATTGCTGCAGAAAGTTAAGAATAAACTAAGTAATGAGTCAGCAAAACCCCCAAAAAGGAAAATCACCTAAGGTGCATCATCTTCTAATCACTTCTTGTTCAAGACTTTCGGAACTTTTACATAAGAATCTTCAAAAGTTGGGACAGCTGCTATCATAGCATCCCTACAAGATATAAGGCATTATATATTGAGTTCATCATCTACCCTTCGTCTATATACACTACTTGAAAAAAACAAAAACAAAAGACCCTTGCTTACCTAGTATTAAATATTGCAGGCACGTCATCACGCAAATTATCTCCTTCAGTATCTAATCATCCAACAAAGAAATTTCATTAAGATAAACTCAAAGGTAATTACCATGGTCACACGTTTAGGGGAAGCATTCACCATCCTTAATAATGCATTTTCACAACTCCTCGGCACAAAAATGAGTCAAGACTATTAATGAATACAACACCTGCATAACAGGTTCATTTATGCATATGCATACTAAGGAACATAAACATGTTTAAAAGGAACAGGTTCACTATAGCAAGAATGGGACACAAGGGGGTTAGGGGGGGGAAACGATTTGGAAGAAGGCTCCATTCTTTAAATATGGACTAGCACTATAGTCGAAACGTGCAACATCTGTTATATGAAGATATGCGAAAATCACATTAGATAATAACTTTATATGTTACTTATGGAAAAAAATAAATTATTGTATCGACAACAGGACGTAATAAGAAAAATGTTGAACAAGTAAAATATATAATAATTCCTCTTTCCTTATAATGTATAAAAAAGTTGAATGTTCAAGCACCTGCTCTTATGGCTGGTTCGATGCTCTGGAGGTCAACAGCCTGGAGTTGCCCAAACCTACATTCATATTTACATCACAAATTCATGAATTACAAAATGTTAAGAATCAATTTTAGAAGTTAAAACCTAACACACACAGACACACACAGTTCTACAAACGCATAGGCATACAGTTAATTCGACGCACATACATTCATATATCTATATAAGTAATAGTAGCACTGTACACACACACACACACACAGAGATACATATATATCTAATTTTGAATCGACAGGAGAGGGTACCAGTCTACCACTTTCCGGATTCTGGGAGAATAATCTTCAACCTAAAAATTGATTAAGGAAAACGAAACAAGTTATCAAGGAATAACGAAAACAAAAACTGTTAATAGATTTGGCGGAGAAATCGAAATTAGTACCTGCTGAGGGGTGAGGGAAATCCGAGCGGTTTCTGCTAATCGCGGAACATCTGGTGGCTCCAGACTCGATTCCGCCCCATAAAACCGTTTATTAACCGAAGCCGCTGCCGGAGGAACACTATTTCTGAAACTGAAGAGCCGCCGCGCCGATTGCGGTGGCGCCGCTCCAAGCATAAACTGAACGGCTTTGCTTCCCATTAATGCTGTAATTGTTTATCTGAAGAAGCAATTTCAAGTTCCTCTTTTCTGATTGTATCCCTCCAAAATTCGTGCTCTAATTTGGGCCTCCCTTATTTAACAACCGGTTCGGCCTCAATACATTTCACCTATTTATAGCAGCCCAGCCCATTTTCTGTGAAAAATTGCAAGGGTAATTACAACTACATCCCTAAGGTAAAGTGTAATTACAAACAAACCCCTTAGTTTTGAAGAACTACATCCAAACCCCTGAAGTTTGTACATTTTTTACATCCACCCCTACAAAAGGATGTTAATGTAAGAAATCTACAAATCACAGGGAGTAGATGTAATTATGGAAAAATAAAGGTTAGTTTCTTAAATAAACCTTACCTGAGGGGTGGTTGTAATTTACCCAATTGATGATAAATGAATGAAAAGCCGACGACAACACTACCATTTGTGCGTTTCACCGAGTTACATTCTACCATACATGTCCCTATATACTTGTCACACCTCAACATGTATATATATTAGTGTGATTTCGCATAAATCAAAATGAAAAATTTACCCTATATATCAGCAGTTTAATGTGTCACTATACCACTTTAAAAAAATTCTCTGCATTTCCAAAAATTTGAAACCAAGGAATATATATTACTACATATATGCACAGCTCCACAGTAGGCCAACAAGACAAATACACTATACATGTCTTCAATATTTTGAACTCTGTTCTTCCTCTAGTGGAGACTTTCCTTTAAACTCTCGAAATTAGCAGATTTATTTTATTTTATATTTATTTTTCGTTGGAAGATGCAATACTAGTGCTATTCGGTTCTCTAGTCGAATTCTGTGTTTTCTCATTCTCAGGGGAAGTGGATGGTTCCTTCTGTGTTTTGTCGGTTTCTGGCAAAAGGGAAGATGCCAGTTTAAGGCTGCTATGGGTTTCAGGCAATGAAGCAGGAGGACTAACAAAGAGCTCTGACTGAACTTCTTGTTCACTAGTTTTACAGATCCCATCTTTAGCTCCACCTACACAGCAGGTTTTCCAGTCATAAAATAACAAATATATATATATATATATATATATATATATATATATATATATATATATATATATATATATATATATATATGGTATAAGTATCTATTACTGAATACCACGAGAAAGATTGAGAAAGAACCTGCTTGAGAAGCAGTGGGAGTTTGTGTGTGGGCATTTGAAGGAGTAGATGAACCTCCTATTACTTTCTTAATCCTCGACTGCAATGAACAACCGGCATCAGAAACACATTAAATAAATATCAAAGATGAAAGAAAAAAAAAAGGTACTGATTCTGAACATGGGGTATTCTATAACAACAATTACGATATGCATTTACTTTGGTGAGGCTAAGTTGTAAAAACATCATTTACGATAAGCACATGCATTTTACCACAAGGGGATCCTAATAAGCAGTTGCATATTAATTAACCAAGTAAATTTACAAAAGATTTCGGACATACATACCTTTGCATTCTCTTCGCAGTGCTTGATGACATGCGAGACATTTGTGCAATGGCCATGCAAAAGCGAGTAGGCCCACAAAAGAAGCTTACGTGAAGTATTCATATCAAGTATGTCAACTCCATCAATTCCCGGCTGGATATAAGTTTCTGCAGCCAGCTGAGCTGGCACCATGTAAAGGTTTATGCCGGATGGAAGCAATGCACAAGAGGTGTCCCTGTAGAAACTGTATGAAGATCTAAGCAGTGTGGCTGCAGTTTCCAAATCTTCGTCCGAAACCCTCTTGATTATAACATTCTTAATCTTAGACAGTGAATGGTTCCATTTATTTTCAAGAATCTTGAGATGATTTGAATCCTCAAACGATGAACTCCATAGTTCCTCTGATTGAAGGTCAACACACAGTAGCTGTTCGCTTTCCGGCCCACCGCCCGATGAATCCATACCATGAATCTCAGTGGAGCGCTTTGAATGCAAAGGTGTGATCAATGCCATATTAATGACAAGAGATCTACACCAGGCAGCAGAAACATGCCTATATACTTTAGCGCAGTAACTATTAGACAATTTTGGATTCTTCAAACGCTTACGGATCTTCTCGTTTATTCCTTCAAGGGTTTCTACCTTGACATTGCTCTCAAGTAGCTGTATGTATTGATAGACATATCTGCAATAAACCGAAAAACGTAGATAGTATAAGTACATAACGTTGTGAATGACGATACATATCCGACTTAATAAAGAAATAATAAAAATACTTCCTACAAATATTTATAGTTGTCGTTGATCTAAAAAAAATATTCTGCGAGCACTAACCCGTAGAGGCTGTTCTCTGTCCATTCTGAACTCTTAAGCTCAGGCAAACTGCAAATATCTGACCACAAGTTGACCTGCTCTAAGAACAAATTGAATAGTTTCTCCAGCAAATGCTCAACATGGTCTGTAGCAGTACCACCTTGACGTACCGACATAATTAAGGCCTTAATGTACTTTCCAAGAGCCACTGGCACAATATCTTCAAGGCACAAGGAGAACTGCAATCACAATTAAATTAGACAACAGAGTTCCTAGTTGCAATATTAACTAGAAAATAGCTTTCTTACCTATTTTTCACAGTAGATACTAAAGAGTTAAAATTGCGAAGAAAAAAATTAAACTGGATTTTCTAGAGGACAAACTAATTAAATTAACAATACTTGCATTCGATGTTCACTTATCGCAAACAAAAGATAGCAAATCAAAGAAATTAAATTAAGTTGAAGGCTTTGATGCTTCAATACCCTTTTATCTGCCCGAAGAGAGACATAAGCCCGATCAAGGGTAGAGACATCTCCAGTCTCCTCCAACAACTTCAAATAGAATAAGATGTACTTCCTTATGCAAGTTATATATTTACGGGAACTTTCTGCTAAGTTTACTTCAAGTGTTCGCTTGTTCCCAGAAGGACCTGGGGTTTTGCGTCTGCATTACAAAGAGGGAAAAAAAGGATCAACTGATTGCATATGTATCCGGCAAACAAAATAAAATTAAAGAATTAGTTCAACTGATCAGGACTCTGTGAAGATGGAATTGACCTTAACCTGAAAAAACTCATCAGCACTGTGAAATGTCAAATGCCATTTGAATTTTTTCGGTGGTGTTATACCTAAGATAACTATCTATCTATTATGGGGATAAAATTGATCAGATTTCAGGTGCTCATTTAGGATCCTTAGATGCTTAAAACTTATCTAGAGACAGAATGAAAACTGTGGAAAGGCTTCGACATTGATATTAAAGTGGAGGTACAACTGAACTTCGTACCTTCCTTTCTTAACCATACTGTCAATCTCCCACATATTTACTGTAAATGACGAACGAGATGACTTAAAGCAGAAAGAAAGTTCCTCCTTTGCTTTCTCTAGATTCCCAGTCCCACCTCTATAGTGAAATCCTTGAGCAAGCATATACCTCGCCTTGTGAAAATGCTTAAGGTCACCTTCCACGCAAGTTTCAAGGGCAGAAAGGCAATCACTGTAAAGCAGATCCCAAACTTTTTCAAATTTATGCAAGTCTACCACCTCAGAGTTGCTATTGGATAATCCATCTTCAACGCGCATTAATGACTCTGAACTTTCATTGTCAAGTCCCCCTAAAATATGTCCTGCAGTTTCCTTGGCTGATTGAGCAAAGGAATGTGCCGCAACAACCTAGAACACACGCAGCACAGATTGAAACAAATGACTTAGAAGTTGTCAAGTGATCAAACATAGTGTGGCTGCTAATCTAACAAACACGGCAATAATTGACAGCTAGGTATCCAAATAATTTCTATGCATTTTCATTAAGTATATGCTGATCTCCGCGTCATTTATTAAAATAATACATATATGCCAGACGTCGAAGCACAAATACTCATAACCATTAGCATAACAAAATGGGAAAATAAAAGGCATATACAGTCCTGGAGAGAAGAAAATACAGCAAATACATCATATAAAACCTTTAAAGCCTCTTCATTTTGCTTCCCGCATTTGCAGAGTAACTTCAATCGTGATGCATGCATCCTGTAGAATGGATCTACAGCTGATGGATTCAAGGCAATAGCCTGGGCATAATATGAGAACGAGACATCGTGAGAGTATTCAAGTTTCTCACAGAGTTTTCCCACATAAAATGCATGAGACCAATCTTCCCTGTGAACCAAAATTTTCAAATTACCAAATCCATAATGTTACACAAACAAATTTTGTGTGTATGAATGAAGAGAGAGAAAGATACTTGTGTTTAAAGGCTTTCTTGAAATGACTCATAGAGTTCTGGCAGAATTTCTTCCAGTCTTCATCCTTTAAGGGTACAACAGATCTTTGATCATAAAATGGTACCACATTCTGAAGACCATCGTAGTACACCAATGCCAATAACTCGTGTATCTCACCCTGAAACAAATGAAGGTGGTGAGTGACATTGAATGATGGTAAAAGTTGCAATATTACAATTTCAAGCTTTTTTCACAAAGCAATCCTGTTACAAGCTATTTCACCGAAGCATTCACGCACAGCAGGTTCTATCATAAAGAACAGTCATCCTGGTGATGCACAAAGTTCTAATCATATAGGTCGGGATATTTCATCTCATCAGAGAAATAAGATATTTCAATCCATTTTTAGGATAAGCACATCTAGGAAAAATAGAAGAAAAAAAATCCCCATAAATTCCAGCAGTGGTTTCCAAGAGAAGTTGATGTCAGACTTGTTCTCATTTGCATACTAACAGATATATCAAATACATTTTCAGATAGAATCAATGAGAAAGGGAATGAAACCTGTTGGGCGGCTGTCTTTGACAAAGCCAAAGTGACCAATAAGCATCGCCTGCTTCTTCTTCGACTTGCCTCAACTCTCAGAGGTAGAACACCATTTTTTCTCCACCCCAAAACATTGATTTGCTTACTGCCATCATTCAGCAGCAAGTCCACTTCCTGCAAACCAAAAATATACAATACATCCTTTAGATTTACTACGATTATACGGCTACCTTTCCTTTGCATTGTCCATCGACGTAAAAAGAAAAAACCCAAGACCTCACCTCATCATATATATTTGCAAGCTTCTGCCAACTTTCAAAGCGCAGAGGATTGTATAATAAATCATATTTGAAGAGATTTGCATTATGCTGTACAAATTCTTCACCTTCTTTAGTTAGAACAAAACCAGCCCATTTATCAGTTGCACTTATTTCCTCAGACTGTGCAAGAAGATGATATAAATTGCGATAAATTTCCAGGTACGGGTCACAGCTGCAACAAAAGGAAACCAATTCTACATTTAACCGAACTCCATATCAATAATCTATGTAAGAGAAAATTAAACACGGTTCATGAACCAATTATACCTTTCCAGGGAAGATGTCTTTAGTTGTTTGATCTGTTCGTTCTCTGGAAATATAATTTTCATCATGGTATCCAGAAAGTCTTTAGACCCAGCATCCTCTGATAGCTTATCTTCACATAATTCTGGATCATCTAAGAACTTATCAATCGCATTTCCAGCCAAAACATGGTCAGGGGGTTGAGGAAAATGTTTGCATATGGCTCTTAGAACCTTCCGAAGTTTAATCAGCCCAGTTTTCTGAAAGGTAAACATAAATGAGTGCAGAAAAAATAATAGAAGCCATGCATCATCCTATTTATTTCCGGTATGGCACAAATAAAGGAAGACTAAGTTGAAATGTGGTGTAGTACTAGTAGAAGCCATAGGGAGAGATGGGCTGAGTGAAGATCTACTCACAGATGAAGCTTTTGCATACGGAAGTATATATTGAAAAACATCAGCACACTGTTCCTTAGTCTGATAATCCCCCTGGCTTGTGTTTTTATGCTCGACTAAATCCTCTTCACAGGATGAATCGGATCTCAAATTTAGACCATACAAACAGTTAAAACATTGATTCAATGCATTATCAATGATGAGTTCAAGATCCTCTCTTTCATCCTCAGTTAGCTCACTCTCACACTCAATAATATGAGTATTCTCTATTTTTCGATTGCCGCAGCTACTGGCAGGTACACAACCAACATCACTGTCACATTTTACTCCCGTTTTCTCATTTTCTAGATGAGAGGAAACATTTTCTGCATTTGAACTGTCAACAGCATCTTTTTCTAATGAACTAGCCTCATCTTTTGCAGTTTTCCTCACTTCCATATCAAGAATAGTAGATAGTGATTCACTTGGAGATCCTGCAGGATCATCTTTCAAAGTCTGTTGATCAGACCTTGTTTCTTGTTCCTTATTAAGAGAGTTAATATTGGATTTAACTTTCATAGCTAACCCCAAAAGATGCTTGATTGCAAGTTGCAAGAATGTCTCTTCTTGTTCTTCATCACACCCTCGTAGACAGCAGATACCAAATTCCGCAAGCATATCATGTATTGCCACAACTAACTCTGCCTGATAGGAATGTCAGAAAAAAATTAGAATACAAATATCAGAGGAAAACATACATGTGACAATTTAACAACTGAACACAATGTCAGAGTAGTTGGAGTACAGTCTCACTTGAGATTTAATCGGAGTATTGAAGAACATATACTGTAGTTTGTAGAAAGCAATAGCAGCATCCACAAAATAGCATCTTTCAGTTTGCTCAATGGACTCCGGAACACTACCAAGCCCATATGACTTTTTAGCAAAGCATGAATTGGCAATACTGTACATAAACGTCAGCAATAAAGACTGGATATTACCAATAACCGCCACAGGGATGTTTTTCTGCAGGAAAATTGTCAAACATTATAAGAAACATATTGTATGACCCAAAAAAACAATACAATAAACTTCATCAAAAAAAAAAAAAAAATGAAACTCTATACATGATTATGTAGAGACAGAGCATGGATGCCTATACCATATCTGAGACTTTCAAGCAATCAAATACAACAGAAAAGACTAGCCAAATATATTGATGGAAAGCATCTCAGATTGCCTCACAGATTCCATCACTGTACACCCTGAAGCACCATATTTGATTCATCAACAAAAATAACATGGAAACTTACAGAATTCTCACTGAGGTTGACGATGCTCTTGACTTTTGATACAGATTGAGAAATAGCTTTCACCTCCTCAGCAATTAAATGACTCCAGTGCTTCCATAAGCTTTCTTGACTTGCAGAAAAAGGAAATGTATTTAATCCTGGTGTATTATCAGGGGAACTGCCTTCCAGACCAGCTGCAGCTAGAAGTATTTGGAGTTTCCTTCTATGACAATTCAAATAGATGTCAACATCCATTGGTTCTGCCAATTCACATGATTTGATCAAAACATCTAATGCAGATAGCTCAACTGAATTTTTTTCTTTATCTTCATTGTCCCGGTCATATAACACATCGAGATGGACATCCTTTGTGAACAATAAAAGAGGAGCAAGCATTTTACTGCACTCTGCATGCATGCTTTTCTCAAGCAGCTCACTGACAGATTTCTTCATTAAGTAGTCAACATCAATCAAATTCATTTCATGAAGGACCCTATCAACTGTCAACTTTTTGGTCACTTTGCAATGTGGCAAGCAAATAGAACCAATAGGAGAGTTCATCTTATCCTTGTCCTTGAAAAGAGCTAACACAATAGAAAATTCCTTTTGAGCTTTTTCTTTATCACCTTCCAATATAGATAAGCGTGCACTTAACCAAAAAAAACGTATCCAGAAGCGATGGTTGCTTCTCAACAAAGATGAGTTGTCCATTTGACCTTGTTGGTTATCTTCAGAAACATCTGCCATAGGGAATTTAATTTCACCATCCATTCCAGAAATATGGAAAGGATATCCCAGAGCTACAGATTCTATAACCTTACAGAGATGGTAAGATGCCTCTGATGTGAAGCTGCAAACTATTGATGTTTCGGAAGAGCGTAATCCCATATCATAATATAGCTCCGAAAGGAAAAGACTACATTCAGGAGTTCGTTCCTTTCCCCAGTGTCTGATATTTTTTTCTAAGTCCAATATTTTTCCAATATTATCATGATATAAAATACTTGAATTTGCAATTTTCTCTAAAAGCAAGTGACCCATGTGATAAGCTCCAAAATTATTGGAAGTATTCTGGACAAACTCAATCACGTCAATAGGTTCCGAGTCTAGTGAATTAGCCGTTACTTCAGCATTACAAGAAGGGTCGGAATTGTGCTTGGAATGTATGGCTCCAGTTCCATCAAGCAAATGAGGCACCAGAAACTGCTTCACAACTTTAGCAAGATCTTTATTGCTGGAAAATTCTGATTCTTCTTTACCTGGTTTGCGACTTCTAAGCCTTTCAAGGCGACTGCTTCGTCTCTCTTGAGGTTGTTCTTCGAATATGGTTCCTTCTTTCTCATTTATAGAGTTGCCATTACCAAAAGGTGTGCCTCCCCCACATGTAGATCTTTCAGTGTCTATAGAACCAGTTAATTTTGTTGCAGATGGAGGCAACTGTATGGTTAGTCTAACATCCCCTGATATGTAGCTCTCAGTTTCCGATTCAATGCCTGATGTAGACAATGGGCGTAAGATCTCCATTACTCGGCCTACAAGAGCTATCCAGGAGGCTTCTGAAAGTTGAACTTCAATGTTTTGCTTCAACTTTTTAGATGCTATGGTTGTATCTAAGTGCTCATCCGTTGCTTTTCTCTTTTCAGGAAATTTTAGCCGTATATGTTTTGGTTCTAGTTTATCTATACCTCTTGGAGTGAATGGGATTGGTTCAGAGTCCTCGATAGTACTTTTTACATGCAAAGCACGAGAATGAGATGGCCAATGCCTCAATATTAGTTCTGCAACAGAAAGACAGGCCACCTCGTCACCTATTGCAATTAGCAGTTCCAGTAGTTTCTCCATGCAATTCCCTGCATATTTACAATAAGCCAAATAGTTGGGTTTCTGTAACAATTTTTAATTCTACAAATCAGGGTCACTAGTAAGCTAAATTACAAAGATAGCAACCATTGAGTAACTAAAATAAGACAGTGAAGAGCAAAAGAGTAACTGCATAATAATTTGGTTATGAAATGTGGGTTGGAACGGAGAAAATATACACTTACAGTTATTAGGGCTGCAAAGCAGCCCTTGCTCAAAAGCCCAACGGGAGATGCTTAATGACCCCATGGTGCAAGATAGTGTTCCTAATTGATTCCAGACAACAGAATCTCTGCTATCAATCTCTACGGCTTGAAGATAGCAGTGCAGAGCATTCTCGTAATAGGAAGGGCCTTGTTGAAGAGAAACTGTAGCAAGGTTTTTTAGTGCCAAAAATCTGCCGAAATCAGGAGGAAAAAAAAAACTCAGGTAAAGGAACTATAGAAATACATGTCAACCATGCTTAAAAAATCCTGTTTGGATGTCCACATGACAATTCTCTCAACTGGACAAAAACTTAACATGCCCCAGATTTAAAATTATAAAAGAATTACTGGATATTAAATAATACGTTTTCCAAGTTAAAACAATGTTTATTAACCAATTAAATAACAACGCATGCATGTCAACTCAAATATAAAGACAATTGAGAAACTTCCTTTAAAAATAATTCACTACTAGAGGTCAAGAAGCTCATCATCTGAATTTTCACAAAGAGATTCACTAAAGGTATGCAGAATGATTATATGACTGAGTGAATTGCTGGATTTTCACAGGCTGTATAAGAAAGGAAGAAAAGAAAACAATCGTGCACATTCCAGACCAGAAAATCAAAATTAACTGGAGACCTGTATTTACATGTTGAGGAAACCTTTTAACCAACAAAAAATCTATTTATGATGAAATGACACATAATAGTGGCATTTTAGAATCTGACGAGACCAAAAATAGTCTTAAATTTCAAAATCTGGTTGATATGCATAAAATAACATCATAAAAATTACCACCATCACAAAAATAGCAGAAAAGAAACAAGTATCTACGGGTTGATTGGAACCTGAGCTGCAAAAGATGACCATCACTTGCACTATTTTCCACCTGAAAACCAAAACGAAAAATCGTGAAACAAATTAAATGCAGAAATGACAAAAATAAGGAAAAAAAATGCTAAAGCGGAAAACTGAATGACTTAATAAGATATACAACCTGCGCATTTAGCACCAATGGATCTTTTAGCACCGACTCTAAAAGTTCACGAGCTTTTTCATAATCTTTAGCTTGTAATCTCAAGAGCCCATCATGATATAACTGTGACAACTGGAACTCCTGGAAAATGTGAATACATTCATTAAAAATATGGCTCTTCAATAACCAGTAACTTTTTAAGTAAATATGAAAAAAAAATAAAAGGCACATGTGAAATGTGCAACCATGGAAGAAAATATAGAACATTTTGGAATAATATCGTGAAAATAAACAAAGCATAATTAAACTCATACTTCGATGAGAAATTCACAAAAAAATTCAAACCTGTTTGAACTCGTCTACACTCATAGCTACAGAATGCCTTCATGTCGATTCCATACAAAAAAATATATACACATAAGGTGATAAGAGGCCTGTATCTGTACAAAAGTAACCTCCGAACAGGAATCACCTCGTTTCGATTTCATACAAAAGAATATGCAAATAAACAGAAACCAGACTGTATCTATCAAAAAAGTAATCTCCAGACGGGAATCACATCACATAAATTAGATTTTAATTTTTTTAGACGGTAAACGACAAATACGATAACATTCACAGCAAAATTATTGCTAAAAGAACACATTCGTCATTTGCAGCACCATACATCCAAACAACCGAACACAAGTAACCAATACATAAAATATCAACTTATCAAACACGAAAATATATTAACTTAACTAACCTATAATTAACTACTTGTGCCCACAACAAATTTAAATTGGTACAGAAAACATGAAATCTTGCCTGCGCTTCCTTCGTCGGGGCCAATGGCTGCCATTGATTTTTCGAGTCTGTGTCATTAATAGCTGCAATGGAAAACTTCACCGACGAAAAAAAAAATCAGCAGGGTTAGCTATAATCGACTCCAATAATTAATTATAACTAAAAAAAATTGAGCTAAAACTTCAATGCTTACCATTACTCCGGATCTTAGGGATGAGCAGTGCTGTAAATAACTAAAATTATTTTATGTTCTTCTGAATTGGGGATTTAGGCGGGGGTTTTGGGGCTGTTGTCGTGGTTTTTGAGTCGGTAGTTTTCTAATTTTACATTTGTATAATTTCATGTTTTTAATCGATTTTCGATTTTTCACCCTCTCATGTTGGACATAAGTAAAACCGAGTTCTCAATTAGCGGTCTGAAGATTTTTCTATTTTGTTCATTGGGCCCGTTTGTTTTAAGTTAACTACAATTTTTGCCCCTGAAGTCTATGCATATACCATTTGACTCCTCTATAATAATTTGTTTTATAACTTACCTCCCTCACCCTTTGAATTAATGAAATGCTATTTACGGTTAGAAAATTGTTACTTGCAGTTTATAATAAAAAAATATTTTATCTCTCTAAAACTTCAAAATTTTCCAACAAAATTCAAAAACCCCCAAACTGCAAATAGCAAAAAAAAAAATTCGAAAATTCGAAATCAAGCTTGAAGAAGGGTTGGGCTTCGATTTTTTGATGTAATTTCAACTCTTTTATGTGTAATATGCATTGGGTAGGTCGATTACGAAACCAATTTCATGTTAAAAAACCTTACAAATCAATTTGTAAGGCTTTTTTTTTTGCAAAAACATATTGGAACGCCCAAGATGAGCGCCCAAGGCGTGTACGAACGCTTTCAATTAAAAAGAAAAAAATTTGCATTGGACGCCCAACTCGAGCCCACTAATGCAGCTTGCACGCCCAATTTGGGCGTGCACTGCATGAATAGGCGCCCAAGTTGGGCTTTTACGCGTTTTGGGGGGGGGGGGGGGGGGGTTTGGGAAGTTTTGGGGTTTAGAGAGATAAAGTATTTTTTGTTATGAACTGCAAATAGCAATTTTCAAAGTGTAAATAGCAAATCCCTTGAATTATCCTATTTTATTAGATAATTTCATTAATTTATTAAAATAATAAAATTTATTTATTTAAAAAAATTGAAAAACAACGTAATATTATACTTCTGAAATCTACAGAAGTTGGATGAAATACTTGAAAAATATAATTGATTGTTGCACTTCTAACTATACGTTCAATTTATTTCTAACTAAATTTAATGCAGACCATGTCCATCTGGATTGAACCGAACCAAATTTGATCGGATCTATGGAACCAGATCCAAATTATCAACCCTACAAAGAAGTCAATTAATTTAAAGTTAGTTAGCCAAGGTGACGACCAACTAATTTGTAGAGCCCTCGGAATTTTTGTAAGGATGAATTTGACAAACCGTAATTAAAAGAGCCCAGGGATTGAAATCAAAAGGAAAAAAAACTGGGACTTCAATCGAAATCAAAATAAGTGTATGCCTTTACCTCAAAATAGGTCATCTGTTGAGGGACCTTTTTACTAATTTCCCAAAAATTAAAGATATTAATTGGCATATTCTTTAATTTTTATTTTTCACAGCTAAATATTATACTATAACAAAATGTTTATTTTAATGTTGTTTATTTAAATATTTATTTCATTTCCCAGGTTCCGATCACCATTCACCTCCTGCGGCCGCGCCGCCGCGGATAATCCATCAAACTCGGCCGGTTTTGACTGCCGTCACATTCCACACCGCCCTCTGTCGATCCTCAATCCTCAGCAGTCTCCACCGCCAGCTTTCTATTTATCAACGTTTCCACTTTCCACTCAAGCACGATTTTGGTGGTTGTTTGAATTCAGAATCAGTGCTTCCCAGAAATAAGCACCCAAATCAAGTAAGAAAAAATCATCTTTTTCTCTAACCTAGTTATCTTTATTATCAATCGTTTATTAATTATGTCATAGAACTAAGTTTATTGTTTGGAGAATTTAGTATTAGTATATAGCAACTGTTCATAATCTACGAATTTCGTCTATAATTGTACTAATCGACCTCATTGTCCTGAGAGAAACAATCCAAACATTGCCTGTAATGTTGCTTTTTTGTTGCAGAAATATCATCTTCAATCGGTTCTTTATGGATTTCCCTTAACAAACCACACTGCACATGCTAATTCATTTAACTTGGATTTGAAATTAATTTAGCAAATTTCAAACCCGAAATTTCAGCTATTTATACCACGGTTTCCAAAGTATGCAGAAATTAGTACATTTTCCCGAAGCTAACATCAAATTTAAAGAAGTGTTTCTTTGGAGTCATGTTAAGCTATTTTTTCTCAAATTGATATCGACAAGTTTGTGCGCTAAGCCCATTAGATCTGAGCTGTATTGTTTTAATTTTTCAAAAGAATTCATAATGATTCCTAATTGAATTGTCGCCGTTTCGTCGTCCTTGTCAGATCATAGCTCACCTGATGTTGCTTTTACATTCCAGCTGATCTCTTACTTCTCTTGGCAGTTGGCTTTGACTGTTTTTGTGAAAATAGCTGTGAGAATTGAAAAAGCTATTTAACTCTATTACTGCATTGACTTCTTTTTCATGTTACTAATAGAAATCAGATTATCATCTTCGATTGTTCTTCAGATATCAAATCAAGTTGAAGCAAGACTCTTCAATCGACTAGAAACATGAAATACTCTAAGTGCTTGTGTTTCTACTTTCTGATCACGGTACTCAGTGGTCCATCATCCATCCATGGAAACATGTAAGATATTTTATGGCTGGGGTGCAGAAATCTCTTATCTCAGTTCCTTAAATTTTACGTTGCTGCAGTTACGGGATAAAACTGTAATGTGAAAAGGTGATGCGACAATCAAATGTTCCGTGTTATCCATGGAACCTCTATTATTCGTTATTCTAACAAGAATTTTACAACATGTACTTCTGTTGGATATCTGGGCACTTTTTTTAGCTCGATGAATAAGAAAATCCTAGATATTCACAATAAAGACGGCAATTTGATTAGCACTCCGTTCTCATTTTCTTTTTCAATATTTCTTTATGTTTTTGTTGGATATACAAATCATTAGAACACGTGTTCCAAAAATTTGACAGGATATATGACAAGGTTTTGTATGTTGGTGAAGAGCTGTTCAAGGAAACACTGCCACTACAAAATGGTGCTTGCCTCTACCAATTACAAAGACTGAGTCCCCATAGGTGGTACGAAGTGAAGATATCATATCCTGCTTCTGTATGTACGTCAGTTCTATCTATCTTTCCATTCTTTTAAAATTTATCGACAACAATTAATAACAATGTTAGAGGAATAATAGATACCTGCCAGTTTTTCCCTGCAACTGCATAGAGGTACATCAGGCTTGGAGATGAATCACGGAAGAAAATTGCTCAACACAGAAAAGTTAATTTTCAAGACTGACGATATACTCTCGTTGAATGAACAGGTGTATCTATGTTTTTTCAAGTCGGTAAATAATTATCCTCATTCGCTTTTCCATCGAAATTTAATTGAATTGAAATCGTGGATCAGGGTGGAATATATGTTATGGTGAACGTGGAACCCGAAGGGATTGTTGCACTACCAGGGAAACATGAGAGGGAATATGTCATGTTCAATATAGGTACGACAAACTTTTGTTTCTAACTCATATCAAACGCTCAAGTCTTGCTTCGTTAGTTATATATACATAAAGTTCTAGGTTAACGTTAAAGACGAAGAGAACTATCTATCTTTCTTTAATCTTTCTCCATTTTCATGGCAGTTTGCGATGAACTGTTGTTGGGCATTCCCCACAAGGCTTGGTATGTTGTAGTTCTGGTGTTGATATGTCTGGTATTGGCGTTTGTGGTCCCGCGTTTTCTTCCCCCAGTTTTGCTGCCGAAAAATCGAATCCCGCCATTATTCGACCAGACTGTTGCAAAGGATTCATGAAGTTTATTTTTTTGCCACATAATATTTCATAGGCAAATTCTGCAGAGATTTAACCGAGAACTGGATGATTTAGCTGGAGATTGATTATTGACTGAGTTACTGAAACGGGTGTAGGGAACTCAGCCACTTTAACTCGCAAAAAGCATTATTGTTTGGCTTTGTTTGTTGGTTTTAGTTTTGGACCCTTCGTAACCTCTATTCGAATGATATTCTCAGTAGTGTTCCATATGATTCTCTCACGCAGTTCTTGTGTAGAAAAAAAAGTGATAAAAAGATGCACATTTGCTCCATTAAACCTGCTGAGCCAAGCGAGCTGTCATATGTAGCTTCAAACATACAAAAAATGTATCGGGTAATTTTCCACCTTAGATTATCACACATGTATAAGTGTAAAGTATATACGAATTCTGAAACGTGTATGGTGTGACGTGTTCACGTTTTTCTGTTGCATATGTATAATGATCTCCCCTTTTGTACGTAACATGTTCACGCTTTTCCTTGAATGATCTCACCTTTAAGACTTCCGAGTCGATGAACTTTTTCTCTTGCATATATAATGCCTTATATAACTACATGAATGCAAGAACTTATTATTTCGAATTTGCATTCCCATCCACAATGGTCATCATATCCGGTAATAAGCCAAAACCCATGTCTCAAATACTCCGAGATTCAGTTTTGATCAACCACCCCGAAGCCGTAAGATTCTTGATTGCCGCCTTAATTGGCGGCTCTCTTCTGGGCTTGGCGGGGCTGACCTTGACCGGAACAATGATAGCCCTCTTCATAGCCACTCCCATTTTGGTCTTGTTTAGCCCAATTATCGTCCCGTCTATAGTTGCGCTCTCCTTGGTCACCACCGGATTCATGTTCTCCGGTGGCTGTCTTGCTGCCACACTGGCGGCGGTTGCGTGGACATACCACTACTTCACCGGGAAACACCTGACGGTGGCGGAGCAGCTGCATTGTTTGAAAGTGAAGATTGGTGGCAGGGCTAGAGATGTGAAGGAGAGGGTAGTAGACAATGGATCACAAAAGAGTCAACTTGTCCAAGAAAAATAAATTAATGAGGATCTTGAATAAAATATTAAAATGCATTTCGATATAATTGATGTAATGGTGTCCTACCGCTATTGGTTGTATAAAATTAGCATATATTTACTACAACCAAATAATAAAAATTAGTCTTTCGTGTTATTAAATAAATATTGGGGGCTCTTTGAGAAAACCCCCTCATTATTTTTTTTAATTGAGGGAGGTCCAAAATATTTTAGTCCATTTGAGAAAAGTCCACACCCATTTTCAGCCATTATGCTTTCCAGCTTTGTCCCCACCCGCCACATCATCACTGGGTCACGCTCAGCAAATTTTTTTTTTTTTTTTTTTTTTCCCGTTTTTTTTCTTAATCGACTATGAAGCATAGTCGATTAAGCCTTAATCGACTATGCTTCATAGTCGATTAAGGAAATTATTTAATTATTTAATTTTTTTTTTGTTTTTTTAATTTTTTTTTTCTATATCAGGTGTATTAATCGACTATGATGAAGCATAGTCGATTAAGAATCTGCTACTAAACATAACAAATTACAACTGCGAAAAAATGCAAAATCAACTATATTTTAGAAAGAAAAAAAATATACAAACGTTATAAATGATTTATACAATTGAAACAATAAACAAGAAATCCAAAAAAAATAAAAAAAACTGGAGTCGATCAACCTTAATCGAATACCAGAACATAGTCGATTAACTTAATCGACTATGAACATGTACATAGTCGATTAAGGTTTCAGCCACAAATAAACCCAAAATCGGCCTCCACATCGTCCCCACACCACCCAGAGCTTCTGCCATGGCCGAACCCGTCATATTTTGAGCATGTTCAGCTCCACCAATTAAGAAAACTAATTTAATTTAATTTAATCCCAATCCTAAATTAACTTAATCCCAAAAGCAACACCAGAATAGAGAATATAACTGATTATATTCATTCTTTATTACTACTTTAATTTTCTGTGTTCGTTTTCATTTCTATTTGCTAGAGAGAGAAAGTTAGAGAGAGAGAGAGAGAGAGAGAGAGAGAGAGAGAGAGAGAGATTGATGTATAGAAATGGCGGGTTACGAACATCAGCAAGGCTCCGGCGGCGGTGGTAATTCTTCTCGCTACGTTCATCAGCTTCTCACACCACCGACGGACCTCCACTTGCAGCAGAGGCCGCCGCCGTTGCCTTCTTCTCGTCTTGAAATTCATCACGAGCCGTCTGCTAATTCCAAGGACGACGACGCCGCCGCTACCACCAGCTCCGGGGGTACTCCCTCCGCCAACCGCCGCCCGCGCGGTCGTCCTCCGGGATCCAAGAACAAGCCCAAGCCCCCAATTATCGTCACGCGCGACAGCCCCAACGCGCTCCGATCCCACGTCCTCGAAATCTCACTCCAGCTGACGCGTGCGCGGAGACGACGGCGGCGGCGGCGGCGGCGGCAGAATCCTCCTTACTCTCCTGTTGAGCTTTCTCCTGTTGAGATTTCTCACTAATTTGTGTGTGTGTGTGTGTGTGTGTTTTTATGTGTGCGAGAGAAAGAGGGGAGAGAGAGAGAGAAAGAGAGAGAAGAGATAAGAGTGAGAAAGGGTGGTTTGGGAATTATTAAATAATATTTGGGTAGAATATTAGGTAAGGGGGTTTTCTCTAATTATTTTTGGGAGGGGGTTTTTCTTAACTCATTTACCTAGATGAAGGGGGTATTGCTAATTATCCCTAAATATTGACTGTATTGAGTATTGACTATATTAAATAAATAGTAACTAGCTAGCTATTTTGGTCGAGTTGAAGGCAACGGTACAATTAAAAAAACACAAAAGTTAATTAATTTTTGTTTTATAATTTCCAGTCTGGAAAAGAAAATATAAAGTAAGTACGAGGGGTCCCACTTAAGACGCTCCTTCTGTCATCAAATATGACCGTTGGAGCATTGCGAGCAGAAAAGACTACAATACCCATGCTCCCATTTTAAATCAAATCAGAGAAAATTTTGTTTCATTCCCCCCCCCTGCAAATATCGCGGTGCCACCATTCCCCTCTTTCCTCTCTCTCTCTCTCTCTCCCCTTCTTTTTTCTTTCTCTCTCATATTCCGAGAGCGCCAGATTTTCAGAAATGACGGTCGCCGAGGAGTCCCAAGAAGAGCACAAGGTATTGTGGAACCATTGTCTTCTATTTCTGAAACTTACATGGAGAAATTTTAGGTTTTCTTTTTCCTTTTTCGACTTTGTTATTTTGGTTCTGAAATTTTGAAGAATTAGGGTTTTTTTTCCCCTTTTTATGTAAGATTGTCTTATTTGCACTTTTTGTGTGTGTGTGTGTGTGTGTGTGTGTGTTTTAATGGTTTATTTCAAGTTTTTTGGCGTTTCACAATTTGATCTCCTGATTTTAGATTTTCGTGATCTTTGTCTTTTCCTTTTTATTTACGACCTTGGAATGAATAATTGACTTTTGGATGCGTATAGTCAATTATTCATTCTATTTAATTTTGATTCGCTTAGGATTTAGTTTCTGATGATCTATTTGGGCACCACTTGTGAAAATTGCCATTAATTGTTTACAATAGCAAGGGTAGCTTCATTATTATACACTGACAAATTTTTCATTAGTGCTTATGTTTCCTGTTTATTCAAGTGAGAGAAAATGTATGTAGTCAATGAAGTCCTGTTTATTCAAGTGAGAGAAAATTGTTGATTTCCTTGTTAGAATATTTTGGTAGTCTGATTAGTGGTGTTCTATTGTGGATATGCGAATGAAACTTTTGTTTCCCTAGGGTTCTCGTGAGAGCACAGCACAAACGGAGAAACAGCGGTGGACTCTAAACGACTTCGACATAGGAAAGCCTCTCGGCAGAGGAAAGTTTGGACATGTATATCTCGCTAGGGAAAAGAGGGTAAGCGTGTGAATTTACGGCATATATAATTTTCTTATCATTTCATTTGCTAATTTTCCATCTGCATATTCTGAAATTATTTCTTCAAATCGAGCATTTGAGGATTTTTGAAAAATCAAGTATTCTAGGATGAGGATTGTTTGATACTTGTTCTAGAAATGAAAGTTTTAAATGTAGTTTCCTTTTTTTGAGCAGAGCAATCACATTGTGGCACTAAAGGTATTGTTTAAGAGCCAGCTGAAACAGTCTCAGGTTGAACATCAGCTTCGCCGTGAAGTCGAAATACAGAGCCATCTTCGACATCCTAACATTTTACGACTCTATGGTTACTTTTACGATCAGGTATGATAGTTTTTAGTTTTTACTTATTTTATTATTGTGATTTGATAATAATTTGTTAGTTTACTTACTTATAACTAATTAACTACAGAAACGAGTGTATTTGATTCTGGAATATGCTGCCAAGGGAGAACTCTACAAAGAGCTGCAGAAGTGCAAATACTTCAATGAAAGACGTGCTGCTACTGTGAGTGCATTTTCTATTCTTTTCTTATTTTACAGAAAATGTCGGTAAAATTCAAAATGTTTATTGAATTAGTTATGCAAATGCATATTCAGTTTCCACAAGTTTACCTCTGCAATTTTAGCTACTTGGCTGACTAGATTTACGGTTTCTTTGTGTTTATGGGATATGTAACAGTACGTTGCATCATTAGCTCGAGCACTCATATATTGTCATGGAAAGCACGTAATACACAGAGATATTAAACCAGAGAATCTTTTGGTGGGAGCACAGGTAATAATAATAAGCTTTTTGCTTATGAAATTTCGTCAGTTGATATGTAATAATCTCACCGCACTAGTTTCCAATTGTCAGGGGGAACTTAAAATTGCAGATTTTGGTTGGTCTGTGCACACATTCAACCGTAGGCGGACTATGTGTGGCACTCTAGATTATCTTCCACCCGAGATGGGTAAGCTTATTTTACATGAAGTTGATGTGTGATTCGGTGTTAATTGGCAGAAGCAAAGATTGTGTTGCATTTGCAGTTGATTTTAACGTTTAAGCTTTGTAACCTTTTGCAGTGGAGAGTGTGGAGCATGATGCAAGTGTGGATATATGGAGCCTTGGTATTTTGTGCTATGAATTTCTCTATGGGGTGCCCCCTTTTGAAGCAAAAGAGCATTCAGACACATATCGAAGGTACGCTCATTTCTACATGAACTTTTGTAAGCAGTCATAATCCCATCATGCAACCAAAGCTACAATTTCCTTGCATTTTCAATTTTGAATATTTTGCGCAATTTTTTTCTGTCGATAAACTAGAGGTGTGTGTGTTCTCTTCTCTGCAGGATTATACAAGTGGATCTAAAATTCCCTCCAAAACCTATTATTTCTTCAGCTGCAAAAGATCTTATTAGTCAGGTAATTTTGGTTTCCTAATATTAAACTTTCACCTCAAAAGCTGTCCCTAGGCTTTAACTTCATTTTAATTTTGTCATCTCACTTTGAAACAGATGCTTGTCAAGGATTCTGCACAGCGTCTGCCGCTTCACAAACTATTAGAGCATCCATGGATTATCCAATATGCCGACCCCTCCGGAGTTTACAGGGGCTGATTCGTCATTTTAACTGCTTTGTCACCATCAACCAATAATGAATTAATCCCACAAAGTGCCTATATTCTTCTGTAAAGTGTGGTCTTTTTGTCTCCAGTAGATGAAAAAAGAGGGTTATTCTATTACACTCGATCCGTTGGTTATAATCATTGGCATTATTAACTAGATGTATGTTTTGCACTTTGATGATAGCTTTACCATAATATATGTATCAAGTCTGTCGTTCAATTTCTTACCCTAGATGCTGGTCACTTGAAATTTATAATTTACTTGTTCGTTGCGTTTCCCTTGTATCTACAAGTTGTTTTTCGTCAAGGGGTGAAATCAGAAATCAAATATAGTTTCATTATTGAAGTTAACAGCTAACAGAAAGTATCGGATTAACTACCGCAAGTCCATAAACTCACAGCCATATAATTTAACTATCAATTTATCGTCACTGAAAGAAAATACAAATAAATGAATCACTTTTTAAATTGCATATCTCTAATTAAAAAAAAATCAAGATTAAATTGTCACTGCCCGCAGCTAAGGCATCCTTACAGATCGATAAACTTGAAACTTGTTCCTACACGATCCCATCAATCCAATATTATATTTAGTACACGTCTCATACTTTGCCAGGTGTCACAGGGATCAGTTTCAAGAGGCCTACTGCAAAGTGTTTTTTATTTCATTTTGTGATGGTATTGTTATTACCTGTTATCCCATCTCCAGAGCTCCCTGCATCATCCAGCATTTGAGTTGGAGGCGCGTCATCTTTTCTGACATCATCATCATTGAGATCCTTGGTTTCCACAAAGCTCGGTTGATTAGTTGAAGAGAGAAGCCTTGCCCACATTCTGTCGGTTATGACAACCTTGTTTTGTCCTTCAGTTATACGCTGTGCATAAAATACTTTCTGTTAAATTCATGAATCACAACCATGTTTTTGCCATCCTCAAGTTCTAAAGATAGATTCAGCATTGCACACCTAAAAGTCTAAAGCAAATAAAAGTTTGTTGGACAAAGAACATGAAAAACACACAGAACTACACTAACATTGAGAGGAATGTACGTATGGCGGCCATTGACAAGCCCACTTATGAAACCGGTGTAACCTGCCATTGCTCCATGAACAGCACTTTGAGCAAGGAGTGTGCAGTACACATTGTCAGATGCATTGCTAGGAATAGCACGGATCATGTACGTTGGATCTGCCAAAATACCGATTCAGTTTCTTTTTTGCAATAAAATAAGATAAATGAATTTAGTCATCAGTAAACTTACCTATGTATTTTAGAGTAATTGGAAGTTTTCCTTGCTTCGAAAAGTGGTCCTGTAAAAGGAGCGATGTTACTTAACAGAGTAATCCATCAACATCATGTTGCAGTCAACACTGAATTAACTCCGTTTTGTAATTTATACTCTAAACGAGAAGAGATAAAACATCCAGCAATAGTGATTTTTCTGTCAGACATGAGTTAGACCTGTGTTCTTAAATTGTTCTCCTTTCTGTTTAGTTGCGTATATTTATCAGAAAAATACCTTTATTTTCTGAGAAATCCACAGCCCGACGTCTTGAAGTAGCTTGTTCCCTGAAGCATCCTGTTCATCTTTAGCAGCAAGAAGTTCCTGACCTGCTCCTTCAGCGATAACAATGACCATGTGTCCATTTTCTTTAAGTGTTTTCTCAATATATTCAAAAAGTCCCCCTTGTCCTTCTAGATAAAATGGTGATTCTGGAATCAAACAGCAGTCAACATCTCGGCTAGCCAGAGTAGCATACATTGCAATAAATCCTGCACCAATAATTCCGATAAGATTAGAGGAAGATATAAAAATGCTAGCACAAGAGAAACTGCATACAACAGTAATTGTAGAGCTTCACAAAGAAATTGCAAAAATATATAAATTTGGTATCTTCCTTTAGAAAAGAAAAGAAAATTATCTCAGATGTATAATAGTTACTGTGCTTTCGTCTTACCACAGTAGCGACCCATTAGTTTCACAACACCAATTCCATTTTCTGCACTCTGAGCCTCAACATGTGCAGCATTAATAGCGCGTTGAGCTTCCTCTACAGCAGTATCAAAACCAAATGACTTGTCAATAACCTGATAACACAAATCAGTTCAAAACTAAAGATGGTCAGAAATGAAAAGAAAAAGAAACTATTACGTTGAAAACAGCAACAGAATGAAAAGGCTCTATAAAACCAATTGTATATTGAAGGAAAACAAATTCACAATATGGAACCACAGAATGTGCACATGGGGTTATGGTACAAAATGAAGTTCATCCATCCACCAGAACATCAAGGAACATGTAGGTTGATTATGTCGGAAAAATCTCATACTTAATCTTTAAGACATGCAAAGTTTGATTCGTGAAACAAAATTCATCAACACGAGTAGCCAACTTTGGTTCATTTGCTTCTAATTGACCATATGGTCTAAGAAATCGGAAAAATCAATTTGCAATTTAAATGAAGGATAAGAGGTACCAGAATGTCATTATCAATTGTCTTAGGGATCCCAGCAACAGCAACCTTAAGACCCCGCTTACGGATTTCCTGCAGAAGAAGAATAAGGTAACAAGGATATCTCCTGAAAAGTGAAGCATATATTATCATGGATCAGACTATCAAATATCTATACTAATGTTGGAAAAATAAAATTGAATACTACATATCCCTCAGTTATGTTATTTAATGTTTTCAACTAATTGGCGCAATATATGTGTGATATAAAACCAAACAAAATGCCACTAATTAGTAAGAGGCAAAATGGAACTGCGTCTTTAGCGATTAGGAGGTAAGCTGCCCTAAATAGTATTACCTCATATATTACTGCTGCTCCTTTCTGAGTGCCATCTCCTCCAATTATATAAACCTGTCCATCAACTTTGTTCATCAGTGACACGGTGTATTTTATACACCAGATATGGTGCATTGCTATGCAGAAAGTTACATGCCAGAATCACTGGTAGGACACACACTTGCCTGATTAATTCCACGGTCCTGAATGCTGTCAACGATCTTCATGGTATCATGACCACCTCGAGAAGTTCCTATGATGGTCCCACCACGCTTATGTATGTCATCTACAGTCTTCGGTGTCAAAGGAATGGTATTCTTTGAATAGAAACCCCTATAGCCTCCCTAAGAGAAGAGATGCCTCTATTAGGAAAAAATGTAGTAGTAGAGCAATACTTGCACTATCCTTAACAAAGCAACGCTATTTGAAGAAGATACGAAAAAATTCATAAGTTCTTTGACCGAGATGGCTGACATAAGTATTAGAAATTTCAGCATGAGATGCACATGGATTCACAAATTTATATATATCACAGATAAGGAGCTCTGATATATTAGTGTAATTGGGATTTCACAGCATTTGCTCTCAAATTCTTTAAGGGAATGAGAAACATTTTCCGAGGCATGAACTTCAATCGGAACGCTTAACACTAAACACTTTTTAAACGTCACAATTAACATCAGTAGCCAGACGACTTACATCAATTCCGAGGACCTCACTGACTCCATACATATAATCAAGGCTATGTACAATTTCCCTGATCACCGTGTTTAGCCCAGGACACAAACCTCCACATGTAACAATACAAGCATTCACTTCCTCTGAAGCAAAACAAACCTGCGCAACGTTGACGAATTTCAACAACTGGTAAATTCCTGGATTTGCCGACGCTTAAGTCTTGAACAAGAAAAAATGAATTCATACCTTTTGACGTGGTCCAGCTCTCCGAAAATGTACCCCTCTTGGAGTATCCCTGTGAACAACAATCTGTAAAGAGATCACCAAACATAACATAGTTCATTTAAGAACTCGGAAATACTACCAGGACATAGAGAAATACCAATATGACCTAATTCGCAACCCTCATTGAACAAATCATTTGAATAATAAACCCACCTTTTGAGGAACACTATCGTCCATGTCAACAAAGTACTGCCTGAAATCGTTAGAAACTTGACAATGTTTAATCATCAAAAAAATAATAAAATATTGGAAACAAGCCACGAGATGGAAGAGAAGAGTAAGCTCAACTCACTTAACGACTGAATATGCAGGATTGGAGCGCAACGGATTGGGATAAGTCTGTCAAAATACAGAAGCAATGTCAATTGTCACTCGTTTGTACTTCATTTCATGAATCTTATGCGCAACTCACTAGCTTTTGAAATATTCCTATACACGCACTACAGTATGCTCAAAATAATCACATCAGAAAAAAGACTAAACAATTATTCATGTCCCCGAAAATCCCAAATCCACCTTGCTGCAAACATTGCAACAATCAAACTACTGTAACTCTTAACAGATCCAAGAGATCATTAACATTAGGTGAACGGATGCAATCTTCGTAGCACGTGGTAAAATTCACAAATTCCAAACACGTGCACTAATCCCCGTCGAAAATAACTAAATCATTCATTTATGAATCGACAAAGCCAAATTCACTCTTCGCTGGAAAATGAACTACGAATATAGATCAATTTTCATGACAGCATTTCATCTGTAACACATAATTCCACTACTGCATAAAAATTGTTGCAACAGAGCGCCATTAAAATCACACTCCAAATAAATTCAATTACAGATATACATTCACCACTCGGAATTTCACACAATAACAGAAGGAACAAAATTCAAGCACGGAAAAAGAAAAACAATAGATAGATAGATAGATACAGATGAATCGAGGAATACATACAGGGAGATCGGGGATGTAATCGGCGAGATGAGGCACATCCTGAAGGATGTATCCGAACTCTCCTGTGACCACCTTCATCTGATAATTGCTTTGAGAATCCATAACTCTATCGCGAATCTACTTGCTGCTGCTTGTCGATTGATGCAGAAGAATGAACACAGCGAAAAACAATTAATATATAGGTAATAATTATGGGTAATTATTGTTAATTATTAATTGTTAATAAAATAATAATACAATTGTTTTGACTCGGCCAATAGTTTTAATTAGCTTCGTTCATCATCATATTAGTTGGTTAAGATAAAAAAATGCACCACTACATATTTAGTATTATATAGTATTCAATGATAAATTAATAATACACTCCCATTGGTATTAGTTTACAATTTTTTTTAATTAAATTTAATATTTTGCTAAATTAAATGTATCCAAGTATTTAAAGAGTTTTTTGGTTGCTGATCAAAAAGACAAAAAAGCTTTCCTGGGGGGATGGATGTCACCATGTCGGTACAACTCATTGTCAGTATAAGTATCTCATAAAGTTTAATCTAAAAAAGAAAAAAATGCTTTATGAGTAAATTTTCAATATAAATATCTTGAAGCTAGTGGTTTAACAACTCATTATCTCTCAAATAACTATTTAATTTTTTTTAAACAGTTACTATTTAATTCTTAAAAAGAAGTCGTTAGCAAAGAAGGAATATACCAAAAATTAAAGGTAAATTATGAAAAACTCCCTAATGTTTGGGTAATTACAACCACCTCCTTTAATTATGAATTTCCTTACGCGTTCACCCTCATGATATCAAATTCAACATAATATTCTAAATTTTGTTAAATGTTCTTTAGTTTGTACTCGTTTTGTAAAAAAAATGCAGTTTCTGATTCACCACAATCTGATATTTACAAGTCACGAGACACATTTTATGATCATCTAGTTTTAAAATGTGGAGCTCGAATGGGGTAAAACGGATATAAAATGGAGAATATTCCACACAATCTATAATATTCTACTAAATTTGACACCACATGCTTGAACATGTGAGAAAATTCATAGTTGAAGGGTGTTGTTGTAATTATCCAAACATGACGAGTGATTTTGTAATTTGACATTACATCAGGGGGATATTTTCGTAATTTGACATTAGATCAGGGGGATAGCCGTAATTTGACAAAAATAAGGGTTACTTTCGTAATTTGAAGTAAGGTAGCTGCTAAAATAAACCAAAATAAAAATGTCGCAACAATTGTTGATAATGGGCTGCAAACAATTTATGTATGCAGCTCAATCCCAAAAGGAAGCCCAACTAATTATAAATCGTCAGATTTGGTCAAAGGAGCTTGAAATTTTTATTTGGTACTTCAACCTTTAACTAATTATACGAAAATCCAAAACATTACTTTATTAGAAGCTTTTAGTCCCTCATTGTGCAAGCTTAGCATCTCTTCCGTCCACCCCCGTTCCTCATCGCCGCAACGCCGTCTATTCTGCGCCTACGCCGCCGCCGCCCGCCGGCAACTCTCTCAGTTTACTATACCCTCTATTACCGTCATTTTATTCTCCGTTATTGGCATCTATTAGGCTCTAAGATGCCGTTAAATCTTTTATCCCCCGAGCTAACATCAATCGCAGCCGTCCGTTTCTCTTCCGTACCTTAGATATCTTCTGTGAGTGATGATTATCCGCCTCGATTTTCGCATTTTTACTCAGTTTATTCCGTTCGAGTAACACGCCTATTTGCGATTTCAAAGCTACATTGTGTAGAAATTGATTGTCTTCTTCAATGTATCTGGAAATTTTGGTTTCAGGAATGTGGAAGAATTTCGATAGAATACAGTAGTTATGAATTGTTGATGTTCCACTCATTTGATTTCATTGTTCATTATTAACAATTTGGGTGATGACACAAATTTGAATGCTGTAATTATTTACAATCATACATGTAGTGATTTTTGTCTGAAATGAATCTGCGATTAGGAATGACAAACCAATTCTCCGGTTTATAAGTTCCGATAATTTTGAGTTCTAGTTGTTTCCTTTTTCTAGGGCTTATCGATTTTCGGTTGACTTTTTCTGTGTGAGTAAATTGATTGATGATATGGCTATATATTCAATTTCAAATATAGGCATTTGGTGGATCATCAGAAACCTTTCGATTTTCTCGTTTCGAAAGCTTCGATAATGAAGCCAAGAACCAGTGAAGTGCCTAGGGGATCAAGAAATTTCCAGGAGGGGAGCTCAAACTGGATCTTAATTTCCGGGGGTGCTTTGCTGAGTGCATTGTCAATTCGCCTCGGTTATAAGCTTAAGCAGGCCGTTGATACCAAACAATCCGATAATAGTAACCGAAGTTTAAAAGGTATGTAATGCATAATAATATGACTTATTCTGTGAAGTTTATTTGAACTGTTTACGAGTCGATTGTAATGCTGGTGGATTTTCTGTACTGTCTCTATCATTGACTTATCTACAATGCTCCATTCGGGATAGTGTCGGACAGAAGAACACCGGTTCTGGATTGAGTTTGTATCGAGCAGATTAGCTAATACATTTGTCATTATTATTTTCACTTTGTGTTCCTCCCGATTCGACTCTGCAGGAATAAAATCGTATTGAAATGTTTGTTCGTAAGTATTCATGCATGAGATTGATAGTGGATATAGTCATTGCGCGTAGTTAAATAGGTCTCGATTTCTTCTCTCTTCTGTCTGACTGTGGCCGAAGAAAACTTATCGTTCAAAGTAATTTTCAGTTCTCAAAGTTAACAATCATGTATTTTAGATCACTAGTTTTGATCAACGTATATGAGTTGGGTTTTTTTTTTTTTTTTTTTTTCAAGTAGTTTATTTTCCTACATTACTTGCATCTGTTTGTCTTACTTTCCCGCTTATCAAACAGGATCGAAGAACATGGCAGAAATCAAAGAGCAACACCATACGAAAACGACAACAGAGCCTAGTATAGCTCGTCCTCTCGTGACTGAGTTCAACAAAGAACATACAAGCAGCTCCGATTCACCATGCGTTTCAGAATCTGGTTCCGACATTTTCGGCAAACCGGAGGTCATACAGAAGCTGAGGCAACAGTTGAAGAGAAGAGACGATATGATTCTTGAAATGCAGTACCAAATTGCTGAGCTTCGGAATTCCATTAGCTTTCAGCTTTCGCATTCTTCCCATCTTCAATCTCTGCTCGATTCCGCAAACCGGGATTTGTTTGATTCTGAAACGGAAATTCAGAGATTGAGAAAGGCAATTGCAGATCACTGTGTTGGATACGAAACGTCCAGTTCGGCTCCTGTTTGGCTGGGCGAAGTCGAAGGAAATTTGGAGTCGTCGGATAAAAAAAGAGACGAGGAAAAGATTGAAATGCTGAAGAGAGAAGTCAATGAACTGAAGGAATTGATCGAGGGGAAAGACTACTTGCTGAAAATTTACAAAGAGCAGAAATTCGAGCTGTCAATGAAGATAAACGAGTTGCAGCAGAGACTCGATTCTCAGCTTCTGAACATTTTGTAGGCAGATTCGACTTCTTGTTCATTCTTCACTTTAATCTTCTTCTTTTTTGTTTAAAAATATAGTTTGAAGTTGCCGATTTTGAGAAATTTTAGTTCTCGTAAAACTCGTTTCCACTCACTGATTACGAGATATCCGAGTAAACATGATTTTGAGAGTTTTTGATTGTAGTTGTAGACAAATGAAACAGGTTTCATTCACTTCTATTTTATTTTTATGTTCTATATTCGTTAAAGGGGGTATTATAATAATATTAGTGTGCAATACTAATACAAATCTGTCTAAAACTTATGCTAGAAGAAATAAAAACCGGTTATTTTTATACTACACTCGGTAAAGCCTACATCGGACGACTTTTTACCGTTGATCTACACACACCAATGTAGGTGTGTGTGTGTGTTTGCGTGTATATGAATGATAAAGATTTATCCCGTATATTTCGCCCGGTGTAGCATGGAATAAACGGCAAAAACTTATGTACTGGGATAATAATGCCGTTCAAAAAAGGAATATTATTATTTATTACAATTCAAAAAAGGAATATTATTATTTATTACAATTATAAAATAAGTTGAGCGTGTGGGGATACAAATTAAAGCAGTGTTAAATGCAGCCAACAGCATAAAGCATAATCAACTGTGCCGCCACAAACTTTGGCTTAAATTCCACGCTACTTTTTTACAAAAAGAAATCCCGTATAAATAAATACAGGTTAAATTTAAAAGATCAGTAGCAGGAAGAAGAAAAAGATTTTTGTCTTTCAATTTTATTGTTGGTTTTAGAGAGAGAAAGTAAAGAGGAAGAAATAAAAAATGTCGTGGCAGAGTTATGTAGACGATCACTTGATGTGTGAGATCGACGGCAATCATCTCACTTCTGCCGCTATTCTCGGCCACGACGGCGTCGTTTGGGCTCAGACCCCCAATTTCCCCCAGGTCCTCCATCAATTACTTTATTTTTTATTTATTTCGAATTTCTCCATTTATTTGGATGCTATTTTGAGTTTGCCGAGTTTAATTTTGCTGGTGGGAGAATGAATCCAAGTGCTGAAATTTCAGGGTGCTCTGTAGTTCTGATTGGGGAAAAAAAAATAGAAAATTGGGTTACTCGAATCCACATATTGTGGAAAAAAATTGAAAATTGGATTACTCGAATCCACATATTGTGGAAAAAAAATTGAAAATTGGATAGCCTTAACGTGAAGAAATAAAATTAACCTTAATTTGGTTCAGTTTAAAGCAGAAGAAATAGCAGGGATAATGGAAGATTTCGAAGAGCCAGGAAAACTCGCTCCGACAGGCTTATATCTTGGTGGTGTAAAGTACATGGTAATCCAGGGTGAGCCTGGAGCTGTAATCAGAGGGAAGAAGGTAAATTTTTTTTTTGGTATAATTACCTCATTTACTAGTTGTATTTTCTTGATTATCATGGCGTTTATATTATAAGGCCTCGTTTGGTTGGGGATTAGCCATGACTAACTAAATAATAGGACTTTGTTTGATGTTTGGTATCCCTAATAACTTGTCGGGTCGACCCGCGAATATTATGTTATTATCGTTTACCTTGCCTTCTAGGCATTTTTTTATTGGATCATCGAAGGTCCAATAATATAATTGGGTTTTATTAGATTATTTAAGATTATCTTGACTAATTTTATCTTGGCAACCAAACGAGGCCTAATACTATACATAAGAATTCATTATTAGCCTAATTGGCTTGGTGATCTAATAGTAACACACATTTGCTGTTTGTTCCTTGCCAGCTGGATTTTCTTGGTTTTTTGTTTATTGAATCTTTGAAACTCGTATATCTAGTTAAATATATTGGCTGGCTCTTTGGAATGTCACAGATTTTTCTAAGAATCGTGTTTTTATTTTTTTAATAACTAAAATTTGTTTGCTTGGATTCTTTGTTAGGGCTCTGGTGGTATAACTGTAAAGAAAACGAACCAGGCTTTGCTGGTTGGAATATACGACGAGCCTATGACACCTGGACAGTGCAATGTGGTTGTTGAAAGGATTGCCGATTATCTGATCGAGCAGGGCATGTAATTCACATGCTGTTGTGTTGGATACTCGAATTTATACCCTAAAATCTTTTCTTTTTATTGGATTTATTTTGAGATTTTGGTCTTGAGCACTTATCATTATATCAATACGAGTGGAGAGTATTTGATAGTTGAATTTCTGGTGTTTTCAAGTTAAGGATGCTATGTAATTGGTGTTGTATTGTATTGTACTCTTTGGCAGCATGCTATCATTTTGGAGTTGGATTGCAGTTGTGTCCCAATTTCAATTTGATAAACTGATCTTCATCTTCGTAAATTTGGAGTTTGGGACTTTTCGAATTACATCGGTGATTGGAGTAGTCGAAGATACAAAATTTCATCGAATTTTCGTTTCCAAAAAAAATATATATATACTGGAGACTAGAGCCGCATTGTCTAATGAAAAAATTTGTGTCCCCCTAAGTGGATACAAAAATTTCGGTAAAACAGGAGGGATAAATTGGGTCGATTTTGACGGGCGAAATAGCGAAATGTTTCTATTAAAACAACATCATATAGAAAATACGAAAAATGAAAACGAACCGAATCCCCTTGCTAACAGTCGTTAGGTCGAGATGGTCACACATTGCTCGTTAAAAAAAAATTAAAAAAAAATTGAAAACGAAGAAACAAACTTGTGATTCAACACCTCAAACATATATATATGCTATAAGACGTGTTCGACTTTGTAGCAACAATGGAAAGTAAAAGGAAAGTCGCACTTGTCTTCGATCAATTATGGGCCCCCATAATAACCCAAAGCCCTCTTTCATATGATCTGTGTCTGCTGCCTGCCGCTTCATTAATTAATTATTCTTCAATTAAGAACAGATTTCCCAATTCTAATTCAGAACTCAGGAGAGAGAGAGAGAGAGAGAGAGAAATAAAAAATGGGGATTCCGTCGGAGATGAGGGACTTATTATTAGCAAATCGCAATAATAAACCTTTGGTGATTCCGTCGCCGATGGAAGATGAGAGAATTCTTCGCACAAAGAAGTGCACTCAGGGTTCTTTTTTATTTCTTCTTTTTCCGTTTTCGAATCTCCAGCAATTTTCATTTGATTCAAATCTCAGAAGATTGAAATTATTTTTCCTTTTTTTTTTTTCCTAAGCACATTTTCTGGTATTTCAGTCCTGCTTTAGCTTCGGTAATTAGTATATTCGTGTTGTTGAAGATTTCAATCGTGTAATTGATGCTTATAAAGGACTAATTAAAAATTGAATTCAGTTTCCGAGGTTTTCGTTCGAGGCAGAAACTAAGTTGATTTATTTTGTTCGCCGATATTTTTTTACTTGCAGAAGGGGTGCGTGCAGGAGCCAAAGCTGCTGCAGTTGCATCAGTTGCCAGCGCCATACCCACTGTACGTAAATGTTTTCCGATTTTTCTTGCAAATGATCATTGCCATTACAAAACATTGATGTTTGTGATTGCGGATGTGAAACTGTTTGATTGAATATTTGTCGAGTCTACCTCTTGCAAATGATCATTGCCTTGTGATTGCGGATGTGAAACTGTTTGATTGAATATATGTCACGTGTATCATTCGTATGCACGTTGTGTGTAATGGCAAAATTGAGTATAAGATGGAAAATCATTTTGCAATATCGGGTTTAAGTTGTTGATCGAGTGTTTGAGGAAGGGGTAAGATTTTCTCGTCTAAATATGTCTTGGATTCAAGATGACACGTAGTGTTCGATATCTCTAATATTTGTGTGTACTGAATTCGTCTTGGCAAACTTTTTCAGTTGGTAGCTGTTAGAACAATTCCTTGGGCCAAGGCAAATCTAAATTACACTGCTCAGGCACTCATTATATCTGCCGGTACATCATCGTAATACACAAATATCTTTCTTTAGCTTTGGAGTATGAACTATATGTAGTTTTTGATAGTTTTCTTTCTTTTTTGGACGATGATGAACAGCATCAATAGCTGCATACTTCATCACGGCTGACAAAACCATATTGGAGTGCGCAAGGAGAAATGCACAATATAAATCATCTTAAAGATGGACTTTCTGATGTCTTTGCTCGGTGCTTGGCTCATGTTGTATTCGACATAACAACATTAATTATCGTGTCTTAAGTTTCTGAAACTACTTTTGATTTTTATATTCCCACATTCAATGAAATTTTTACATGAGTCTTTCAACTGTCTTGCACAATATTTTTATCGTAATGTTGTTTCAATGTGCCCTCGTACACCTTGGTCGGTTACAAAGACGGTGGCATTGGCCCTGTGTGAATAACTACTACATAATATAAAGTTCACAACTAAATAATCAGTTTCTTTATTCAATTTTCTGATCAAAAGACATTCAAGGGAATGTCATGACTGAAAAGTTAAGTTACAGTTGGAAATTTTCGATTCAGAAAAGAATTGTAAACCACAGCCCAAAAGTCTTATATTACGAGACTCTTCAATGAATTTGACTAAAAGGTGCAAAAAAAGACCCTTTCTTTCTCTACTGCACCGTTGAAAACTATACTCTCAATAGAGAGAAAAAATGACTTACGAAACTCCATCTTTATCTATTTGCGGTAAATGTGATCAAAGACATCCTCAGAATGCATACCTATATATTGCATCAGCAACTCCGTCTTCATCGTTGCTTATACCAATTACATCTGCCACAGCTTTAGCCTTCTCCGATCCATTACTAAGAGCAACACCTAGAGAAGCCAACTCGAGCATCTCCACATCATTTTCTCCGTCTCCAATGGCCATGATCTTATATAGTCAATAATGAAAAGAAAAAAAAGAATTCATTTTTTTAGCAATGTATTTCACAAATAATGGATAAGAATTTAGATATTAAAAACATACCTCATCTGGAGTAACACCTAGATGATCAAGAAGTATTTTTACTCCACTTCCTTTCGAGGTGCCAGGTGGAACAATTTCAAGCATATCTGGTACTGCTTGGACAACAGATGCACGGTCATCTATTGCTTCTGTCCAGTATGGGCGGAGAGTATTTGCGACTCCCTCAGCACTATCTAAGAATATCAGCTTCTGCAATAACGATGGCATGTCAAAACGAAAATGTATGCTCAATTAATAGTCACAATTTGAAGAAACATAATGAGTAAGCACAGATTGTGAGGTTAGAAATGCATGCTCAATTTTGAAAACCATCATCATATCCCAAATGACAAAACCCGTAAACATCAAAATTTTGGAATTAGATATCCAGTATATAGATTTTGTGTTAAATAAGTATTTCAACTGAAGCGACCGAGAAATATTTGGTGCAACTGAGAAAATAATAATTCAGCAATTAAAACAATCATTTGAAGAACTAATGCTGTACACAGTACACTACACTGATATATGCTAAAATAATGGGTATTCCAGGTTTCAAACAAACCTGTATTTCTGTGCCTGTCAGGAGCTGCTCAACTGAAGGTATAATCTCTGCCTGTCGAAAGATCTAACGTCAAAACACATTTTCAAGAAAACATACTTGATCCCTCATATAAGAACAGTCCGAAAAAAAATTAGTAAATCAGCACCTTTGGCTCATGATATACAGTATGAAGCGAGTCCACGAGAGGATGATGGAACAATGTCAAGCATCTGTCCTCACTAAAGGCAATAATTGGAATTTTATGCTCAAGTGAGTAGAGAAGTGCCTGTAAGACAGAAAAACAAATCACTTAAGCTCCTTATGATTCAAGCATAAATTGATGATTTTCTATATGCCAAATTTTGAGTTGTTGCCAATTTGAAACTTTAGTCCTTTCAATTGAAACAAGCAGGTGGAATAAAAATAAAGAGAAAGAATACACTGGTCAAGAAAAGCTTTTGACAGGATAACGATATGTAAGCAGAATCATGTTCATGTTAGTTACGATCATTCCAAAGACTCAATAGTCCAATGAAGTAGATCAAAGGGTTAGGCAGGAGAAAACCAGCTGGATAACAAAAACGTGATTCAAGAAAAGTTTATTGTTTCTACACAAACTGTACTAGTTTTCGAAAAATTGTTTATAAATTGCCCAAAGGAGTCTACATTTAAACCAATTGAAATTTGCACCAACAAGTAGGAAAAAGGTAAAATTGTTCCCACCTCTCTGCAGACGCTAGGATCCAAATTCCTTCTAAATATTTCTCGACCTTGTCTGCCATAAACAAGCAGTCCCTGGAATCCATAATTGAACAAAAACATATAAGAGAAAAAAAAAATTAGTTGAAAACAATTAATGGAGTCATGAAGTGCTGTTTTTCTATCCATGTGAGTGAATAGCTCATAGTTCTGATTCCTAACTAAACAAACTTAAGATATGGATCCATCCGTTGTCAACCCTCATCCATAATTCTTGTCATGTCTTTGCCTTTTCCGGCCATGTTTTCCACTTAATTCAGTGCCTTATATTTAAAATGATGTCTTCTAGCAAATCATGCCAATAGTTATCTGTCTTCTAGCCAAAAATATAACATGAGGAAAAAAATTCCTTTTCAGACTCATGAGACATGATTAAGAAATTCCTGATGTGTATCTATCTCATCAGTATGTATAAGAATACAGATTGCTAGAACCAGAAATAAGATCAACGGAACATTTTGAGAAATAATGTAGCCCAGAAAAAAGATATAACGGAAAAAGATACGTGTGAAAAGCTGAACCTGTACAAAAACCCCAGGAGAGGACTCTGAAACAATGCCATCTCTGCCGCCCAAGTTTGCCATCTTGAAAATATTCATTACAGCTGGACGAGTCTTTATCACAGATTGAGCCAATGAGAGAAAAATTAGTATCAGTGTCAGGTAAGTAGCGTCACAAAGGAGTATACAACTCCAGTCAGCTCATAAAGAAAATTCCACTCTTACTTTTCCAGTTGCTATCACTACATTTAGACCCCTTGATGACGCTTCTTTTAGAGCTTCTGCAGTTGATAAAGAAAGTTGACTTTTGCTGTTGAGCAGTGTACCTTTATGTTTAAAAAATTCGAGAATGGATCAGATTGACATTATTCTACTCAGAAGATAAACAAAAAAAAATAAAAAATTACAGTATGGCATAAGTCATGACTGAAAAAAAAAATCTAAACATTTGTCATGTAATTTCTTACCATCCATGTCGCAGAAGATGTAGCCAAATTTGGGTCTGTAGAAACGGAGACTGCCTTCTCTCTTCCTGTCTTTTGACAATTCAGAAATGTGATTTCTCTGGGATATCAGGATAGAAATAGAGCTATAAATGGATGTCATGAATGTTCACTACAATAACTATTAAAAAGCACAAAATCTGATGATTTGATTGGTATATTACCATCTGAGTGGTCATTATGTGGAGTCTCATTAGTTCCAGCATCATATGCACTGTGAATCAGTCCTTTCCCCTTCCAATCAAGACCTTTCAACATAAGTTCCTCTTCATTCTCCATTTCTTCTTCTGCTTCATCGCTTAACTCATGATCAAATCCTAAAAGATGTAGCAGCCCATGAACCTGCAGGAATATAAAAGCCATTATCATTCAGGGTTTTAACAAATCCATGCCCAGCCAACTGAGAATAAATGTCTAAAGTCCTATTAAATTCTGTATTTTTCAATCAGCCTTGTATGAGCCTACTTTTAAAATGATATCTTCTTGGAATCCAGTTAGATACCAATGTACATGACTAATTTTATTCCAAGATAGATATCAATCACTGACAATCCTTTGATGCCACAAATTCAAATCTATTCGCCTCTACTGGCAATCATAATACTCAAATAAGTAACTGAACTCTGCAACAGATTAGATGTGTTTTACTAACATCTCCGAGGTTTATTTCCTCAGAAAACCTACATGCTTTGATTAAATAAATACATCTAGTAAGCTTACTTTCAACGGTACGTCAATGTTGAATAATAAAAAGAACAGATTACTAGAAGGAAGAGAAACAGGTTGTAGATCCTGATAAATGATAATAAATCAAAACAGATTGGCCTCTTTATTATTTCTGTGATAAGAAGTCAGTGTTTGCAGATAAAGAACTAAGTATTATTTAAACCAACCACGAGGATGCGTATTTCGTCGATAAGAGTGTGTCCTCTCTCGCTTGCTTGTCGTGCAGCTGTCTCAACAGAAATTACGATGTCACCCAACATTAGCTGCAACAGGGTAATGCTTATTATCAGGCCTGTCGAAGAATTATATGTACATATAAGAGGATGACTGAATGAATTACTTACAATAGGGAGTTTGAGTTCAGGGATATGTTGGGACATTGACAGGACATCGGTAGCATGATCTTCACCTCTCCACTCTTTGTTAAGTTTACGAATGAACTCGTCATTGCAAAGAAGTACTGATAGCTCAATGCTCTCAAAACAGCCAACATCGTTTATTGTGGTATCTCTTGTTTTATGTTCTGAAGTACTTAGGCGCTCGAACACTAATTTCATTGCCATTGGAACATTAAGACGCATTATTTCTGCAATATCCTGCAGCAAGTAATACAATAAGTGAAACAACAACCACAATTTACTTAAATGAAATCATCAGCTCTTATAGATAATAATTGAAGAGAGTCTCAACGGACAATGATTGAGAATTATCAATCATGTCAGAAAAAGACAGTTTAATAGAAACTTCAAATTCACAGCCTCACACAACAGAATCCAATGGTAAAATAGATATTGAGGAATGGAGGGATTTTTGGAAGAATGGTGCTGGGCATGACATGAAGCGTCGTTTTAGGCAAGTAAAACAAGGGAAGCACATTTCACAGTACAAGTTTCTCTAGTTACTAGTTAGCATGTGATTTCACTCTATTCTCTTGCCACATTTGACCTTCATCAAATTTAACAATATCGAGTTTTCTAAATTTGAGAACAGTTAGGAAAAATACTTCTCATAGAAATGCATACAAATATGCATACATACTGGCAACATATCAACAGAATACCCCAAAAAATGGGAACCACTGATTAACACGCATAGTAAAATTGTACAAAGTAGTATCAATAGCATCTTCAGTGCACACGGCAACTCTCAGATGCTTACCAAAATAACAGCAATTACTATACAATTTGAAATGCACGCTGAAAAAATCCTTTGTGAATTACAACTGCAAGAGCTATTGGTAACGAAAGTGGTGGTGAAAAACGTAAAGCAATATCCAGCCGCACGCAAATAGTGAGAGTAGTACCATAATTTCAGGATCTTCGGGCAATTGTTCTTCGAGGCAAATGTTCACACTCAGCTCCAGCTCCTTCTCCTTATTCTTCTTCGCGGCCGCCACTCTTCTGCTCCTGACCTTCCGGTACTCCCGCCCTGCCGCCGCCATCACAACACTGCCATTTCTGCCCCCAAATCGTCGCGCGATGCACGAATTGTTAATACTATTAAATCTCCTCCTCCCGCAGAGAGAGACAGTCCCCGAATACGACGTCGCTATGTGAAAACAACGAGGATGCGACGGAGACGGAAGCTTCGAAGGGAGAGCCACGACGGAGGGGAGTGCGCGCGAAAGAACACGCGCCGCCATGGATGAGGGCGGAGGTTGAGGTAGAGTGCGGAGGAGAGGGGAGAGGCGAGAGAGCATTCAGTCGCCGATTTACCTTTTCCAATTTACTCAGAATAAAAAAAAAAATCAGATATATTTTTAAAAATTACTACTATCGATTACAATACTGAATGCGATTTCCACCATAAGGGCGGAAGTCTTCAGGAGTTCAGGTTAATGGCCGGCAGCCGATGTGCTAATGACAATTTTAACCTCAATATTTTACAATTTTACTATTCTATGAATAAATGAATTTTCTATCAATTTTTTAATAAAAAAATTAAAAAAACACAACAAACTGCCTTTCAAAATAAAAAAGAGTCTGATTAAATCGCGGCTAAATGCATTTGACTATGATTTTCCTGTGATTTCTGAAATTCTAAAGGGCAGGCTGAAATCAGTTCAGGTGTTGCGTTTTCTATCTCCACCAATCAATGATTTTTCATACCAAGATTTCCCGCCAATTCGTCGGCCAAATCAGAAACCCGCACCGGCAAGATCAAGCGCTCGTAAATCGGCTTCTACTCCTCCTGAAACAGTGTAAATCAACCAAATTATTGCAGCAAATCCACACGCAAATGCTTATTAACTCCGTTCAAATGCCCATGCCCAATTTCTTGCTCTCCAAAATGATTGAGCTCGGAGATTTTAGCTACTCTAGTCTTTTCTTCCCTCGAGTCCCCATCAATAGTTATGCTTTCAACGTAATGATCAGGGGTTATGCCACGACATGGCAGAAGTTCGATCTTGCCTTGGAATCATTCGTTCATATGAAATCTTTAGACGTAAAGCCGGACAATTTCACGTATCCGTTTGTTTTTATATCGTGTGGGAGTCTTTTAGCATCGAGGATTGGAAGATCGGTGCATTGCGAGGTTGTGAAAACTGGCCTGCTGCTGGATTTTCATGTGGCTCATTCATTGATCACAATGTACTCGCGGTGTACTGAGATGGGTTCTGCCCGGTACGTGTTCGATGAAATGATTCATAGGGATTTGGTTTCATGGAATTCCATAATTTCGGGGTACTCGAGGTTGGGTTTTGCTGGGGAGGCGGTTGAAATGTTTGGGGAATTGAGAAAGGAAGGATTGGAACCCGACGAGACGACACTCGTGAGTGTGCTTGGGGCTTGTGGGGATTTAGGGGACTTGAATTTGGGAAGGTGGATTGATGATTATGTAATAGAGAAAGGGATGGAACTAAATTCTTATATTGGCTCTGCTCTCATTAATATGTATGGAAAGTGCGGGCAATTGGAGTCAGCTCGCACGACTTTTAATTGCATGAAAAGGAAAGAAGTAGTCATTTGGAATGCCATGATCACTGGGTAAGTAAATTTCCGTTTCTCGTTTTCGTTTTTCCTTTTATTTTTGTTTTGCTCTTTTTTCCACTATAGTGACTAAATTATGTTGCAAAACAGATACGCACAGAACGGACAGTCGGATGAAACTATCTACTTATTTAATGAAATGAAGGAGACTGGGCCAGAACCCAATGAAATTACATTGATTGCAGTTCTCTCTGCATGTGCTTCAATTGGTGCTTTAAACTTGGGGAAATGGATCGACGAATATGCATCCAAAAGAGGGCTTGAGCATAACATATATGTTGCTACAGCTTTAGTAGATATGTATTCGAAGTGCGGAAATTTGGGTTATGCATCACGAGTTTTCGAAAATATGCCGCGGAGAAATGAGGTCACCTGGAACACAATGATCTCCGCACATGCTTTTCACGGACAAGCAAAAGAGGCACTGTCTCTATTTCAACGCATGTTAGAGGAAAATTCTTCACCACCCGATGATGTCACATTTGTCGGGGTGCTATCTGCATGTGTTCATGGTGGTTTGGTGGATGAAGGGAGTCGATTCTTTAATTTGATGACATCATCTTTTGGGCTGACTCCAAAAGTCGAGCACTACTCGTGCATGGTTGACCTCTTATCACGTGCTGGAAGGGTTTATGAAGCTTGGGACTTTATTCAAGAGATGCCACAAAAACCGGACGAGATTTTATTAGGTGCATTGCTCGGCGCCTGCCATAAGCAAAAAAATGTAGATATTGGAGAAAGAGTTTTAAAGCTTCTCTTGGAAATGGAGCCTTCGAATTCCGGCAACTATATTATCTCGTCGAAAATATACGCAGATACAAAGAGGTGGGACGATTGTGCTAGGATGAGAGCTTTGATGAAAGAGAAGGGTGTTACTAAAACTCCAGGATGTAGCTGGATTGAGATGGAGGGCCAGATTCGTGAGTTTCATGCTGGTGACTTTATAATTGAAGGTGCAAAAGAAATTCATCGAGTTCTTGACATGATGTATGAGGACATGGCAATGGAAGTTCTATAGAAAATTGTGTCTATATTAAACATATTATTTTGATGATATACAACAAATTCTCAGGATAAATTAGTTGGACTAGACGAATAAAGATTGTTACTGCAATTCTGAAGAATTTGCAAACAATCCTTCATAGATGGCCTATTAGAAGGCGATGTGGAAGTACAGATAACTCCTAGTCGGAAAACGGCGATAATTTGATCCAAGTAAATTGGTTCTCTGATGTCAGCATCCAATGCATCAATAATGGCACTTGGATCGCTGTAGTGTAGGTGGGCCCGCCCTGCTAGGTTCATTGGATCTCCTCGAGTAACAGCTTCTCTTCCAGTAGCCAATTCAAGTAGAACCACTCCAAAGCTGTAAACATCGCACTTCGTATTCACTTTCGTTGAGTAGGCATACTCTGTAATTGAAGATTTACAATTTTTATAGTATAATATATATACAAATACGAGCAGATAAGAAATTACTTCAAAATTATGTACCGGGTGCAATGTAACCAAAGGTTCCAGCTACAGCGGATGCTATTTCTGTATCACCGTTCTTGCTGGTAAGCAATTTCGCTAGTCCGAAATCTGCTATTTTTGCATTGAATTCCGAATCCAATAGTATATTGCTGGATTTGATGTCTCGGTGAATGATAGGTGGAGAGCAGTCATGGTGCATATAGCAAAGCCCCTGTGCTGCTCCAATTGCAATGTGCATTCTCATTGGCCAACCCAAATTTGTGGCTGAATTGTTACCGACCGTTGATACTATCACCCGCCTGTTACGGTGCAGCCACTGATCAAGGCTCATTTTCTTGAAATATTGGTACACAAGAAGCTTTAAATCTTTGCCTGAGATATAGCACAGAAGCTTTACTATATTGTAATGGCGAATATTCCCGAGTGTCTGAATCTCTGCCAGGAATTCCTTCTCGAGCCTGCTGTTGGATTTTCTGGCACTCGATATACTTTTGACAGCTACAGAACTGCCTGTTCGGGGTATGAAAACTCGGTACACCTTTCCTGAACCCCCGTTTCCAATTAGATTTTCTTCTGTCAAACTTTGCAAGATCTCGTTTTTATCGAACTTCAACTTTTGAAATGAAACCATCTTCCACTCATTTCGGTCTTTTGAAGAAGTACCAGATCGACAAATTTTCTTGAATCTTTCTGCAATCGTCTCATGCTTGTTAAGCCAGCATTTTCTTGCCAGGTAGATAAGTAGTGCAAATCCTACAAACCCTACAACCCCACAACCAACTGTTTCCCCTATAATTATGAAAAGGTGCCTGTTTGATTTGTCCTTATCGGAATTACAGTTAAGAAATTCTTGAATTCTATATTCAGCACACGAGCTAGAAGGGCAAAGCGGTAGACCCTTGGTCCCGTTGTCAGAACATAGATTGGAAGAATCCAAACAATTATCATGAAAGTCGTATTTCAAAAACTCGTACGAAATCTTCCCCGAGAATTTATTCGAGCAAAGACGAAGTACACGCATCGACCTCAAACGGAGTAGATTCTCTGTTATATCACCAGATAGCTGGTTATGAGACAAATCCAAGGTATCTAGCCCAGGTATATCACCAAAACTTTTCGGTATCGTACCATTCAAACGGTTGTGAGTCAGATCTAGCACATTTAAATTGAAGAAATCCAACTCCTGTGGTAGTTGACCGGACAAGTTGTTATAACCTAGTAACAGAGTACCCAACTGATGCATATGGAATAATCCCATGGGGATTGCACCACTGAATGAATTCCTGGATAGATCCAAAGAGCGAAGAATGTATAGATTCCTTATACCGTCAGGGATCGATCCGCTTAAACGATTGCGAGAGAGTTGAAGTGACTCTAAACTGCTTCTCGTAAGAAAGAACTCACCCGGGATTGGTCCGGACAAGGCATTCGACGACAAGTCGAGTGTTTTCAGATTCGAGGAGTTAAATAGACAGACGGGTATTTGTCCCGATAATTTATTATCGGACAGTTCGATCGAAAAGAGGTTTTTGAGATCGCATATTGACGGTGGGATTGTTCCACTTATACCCTTTTTTGATAAATGCAGGTCGGTGATTTTTTTGTCGATAACGCATTCGATTCCTGGCCAATCGCATGCGGAGGAGTTCGAGTTCCATTTTGCAAGTGACTTGGGATTTCCCCATTGTTGTTTCAAGCTTAATAGAATAGTTTGTTCAGAAGAGAATTGTTGTGAATTTAGTTGAAGATGGAAAGGGATTATGAGGATGAAGAAGAGAAGAAGGTGTGACATTGTTTGTTGCAGAAGCAGAGAGCAGAGGCTTTCTTGAATCATTGTTAACAGGATTGATTGTTCACGTAACATTATCAAGTCTACTCAAGTCAATGCATATAAAAATTAATTAAAAATAAATAAACATATGTATTTCCCTTTTTGTGTTCAAAACTGAGGTTTTATTAATTATTATTATGGTCTTAAATTCTCCAGGCTGGATGAGTTGACTCTGAAGTCTGAACACGCTAACCAATATGGACTATTAAAGCATCAAATGTATTTTTTATTTTATTGTATATATTTATTATTAATTTTTTTTTTTGAGCAATATTTATTAGTATTATTTTGGAACGAGTAATGGATTAACTGTCGTTTTGATATTCTAAATTTGACATTTTTCAGTATTTAATATTTTTATTTCGGGAAAATTACAGTTTTCGCCAATCAAGTTTGCATCAATTTCACATTTTGTCCATCATGTTTACAAAAAACACATTTGGTCCCTCGTATTTTAGAAATTCTATACTTTTAGTCATTTTCGTCAATTTTCCGTTACTACTAATGGGATCAAGCGTGTTCCCATCACTAACTGAAGGAGTAACGGTAAATTGAAGGAAAAGACCCAAAGCGTTAAATTATTGAAACACGAGAGATCAAATATGTTTTTTTATGAACATGTGCGACAAAAATGTGAAATAGGTCCAAACTTGAGGGGTGAAAATTGTAATTTTCCCTATTTATTTCAATTATGTTTGCATGAAGGGGGTCTTTGTGCTTGGTTTCATGCAGCAGACCAAACACTGTTGTATTACGTAGTAACTATCAAGAAACAGATCAAACATCATTACTTACATACATTTCTCACTAGATATATATATATATATATATATATATATATATATATATATATATATATATATATATATATATATATATAATATAATCTTAGATTCTTAATACAAATCCAAATCTAACTCAATAGCACAACACGTCAAGCTTATGCTTGCTTAGATTACACACACACACACACAAATAAAATAAAAATAAAAATAGGCCTTTATTCTTTCCTATTCCTTAACCTGAAAAGGCTTATAAGTTTTGAGAGCTTTATTAAGGCCTTGAATGGAGCCACAGCCAGCAGCCACTGCAACGAGCAAACACACCGAGTTTATGAGTTGAAGACCGAGCCACCTCCGACTCCACTTCTTTATTTTATTCTTCGCAATGTACATTTCTATTGGGAAATACACCGTCAGGGGCCAATACCCCATTGCCCCCAAAAACGCAAGTATGTCGTTGAAAAACGGCAGTATCAATGCAAATAATGTCGCGAGTATTACGAACGAACTTCTCCATATCAATCTCATCAAGTTTACGCTTGTAAACTTGTTCCTATTTTTGCCAATGCCTATTTTGTACTCTCGCGTTATGAAATTCGATTTCGGCCACTTTTTATTTGCCCGTAGTTCGACCGCGCTAAATACCGGCTGCGCAAATACCTGTCGACCAAAAAAGAATAATTTAATAAATTTTCTTGAAGCGAAAAAGGGGGGAAAAGATAAATTGATTTCGATGATTTAATTTTGGACCTGATATGCACCAACTAGGTGCAGAACAATGCATGCGTTGGCTAAATCGACCAACCAAAACGGCTCGTAAAATCCAAATCCAGTTAGTAAATTTCCGGGTGCGTTGTTGCCAAACGCGGCATAACCGAAGCATCCACACATCATATAGAACGCTGTTGTAGTCGATACTGCGACGATGTTGGCCTTTTTCATCACTTGGTTTTCCGGTGGTGTTGCTTTTAGTGTGTCCTTAATTGAGGCAGATAAATGTTTTTTTAACGAGAAAAAAAATTACGTTTTGAAGTAAAATAATCGAGGTATATAATTTTATTTGAATTTTCATTTACCTGAATTTCGACCAGAATTTGAGAATAAGTGTAAGCAAAGGCAATATCACCAAATGCTCTGAACATTCTCCAGGTTTTTTCAGCTGCTGATAAACCGATTCCGACTTCCACCCCCGTAAGTGTAGTTCTTTCTCCTTGCCCTGTTCATACCGTAAAAATCCTCGATTATTTGGATACAATAATATAATTTAAAAATTGATTATAAAAAAAAAAACAAATCACCTGAAATGACTTTTGCCAAGGCAAGTCCCACACCTATAGATGAATAAGCAAACGACATAATAGCTGCAACAACCGAAAGCATCGATAGCTTATGGAAATTCGGAATTTGAGACAAAAATATTTCGAGAATTCCCATTCCGATCATATACGGATTGTGAGAGACGCTGCACGAATTTTCATGGCCTCGTCTATGAAAACAATCCGATTTCTGAATAGCACTGAAATTTTAAAATAAAATAGAATGTCAATAAAAAGTCTTCATAATTAACATTTTATTTTAGTCTAATGGTTAGAATATATACACATATATACTTACGCCATGCTTATCGATGCTGTGATGGTATATCCGACTACCATCCCACAGAGATTGGCATATTGAACCATTGCACAAGCTACGTACATAGTTTGACCTGAAATAATTTTCAGACAAACAAACAAAATTACGATTTCGAAAAAATCTCCAAAATAATATATAAAAGTGACTGTGTAATAATAATTCATGCTACCTAAATTGTTTTTGACGACATCTTTGTAAGTATAGTTACGTTTTCCGGTAAGAGGGGATCGGTAACAATCTGCTAGTAGGCTCGAAGTATATAATGTGATAGCGGAGAAAATTACGAGAGTTGCCACTCCAGCAATCCATCCAAGCTGTGCTACTCCCCATGCTAGTGACAGAACTCCCGAACCGATTATCGCGGTTATTATGTGTGCACTTGCAGTCCAAAGATTACCTAAACAAAATGATTATGAAATTAATAATATATTAAAAAATATAATACAGTTTATGAAAATACCTAATTCATTAATACAGTATCACTTCTTTTCCAATACTACTAAATCTGAAGTCGAACACTAATTGACACTTGACACCGACAACTTAGTGAATTAAAAAAATTAAATTAAAAATCGTAAAACAAAAATGAAAGATTGAAGGAGAAGATCTGGATATTAATTCTTGTCAACTTTTCATATAAATTAAATATAATTGTGTTGACAGTATCAAGATCTTGATGAATAGAGTTCAAGAATTAAAGAAGGAAGCTTAATTAAAAGTACCTGTCCTGCTAGGCTTGCCATCATCGTCTAACTCCGCATTTGCAGCTTTCTGAATTTCCAGGCCAGATTCACCTTCAAAATTCTCATCTCCAAATCCCTGCATCTCTCTCTCTCTCTCTCTCTCTCTCTCTCTCTCTCTCTCTCTCTCTCTCTCTCTCTCTCTCTCTCTCAACAAAAAAAAGCTGGCTATGTGTTTGGCTTTTGCTAGAGAAAAGGAACCAAGAAAGTCTCCATGCAGGTTACATATCCCACTTTTTTGGCCTTAAACTCAGATTTTTATAGACTTTGCAATGCATGCACCGAAAAAATATATATATACATACATATACATATATAAATGTAGCACTATGGCAGTGACACAAAAAAGAGGGAATTCTGGTGATTTGATCTCAGCAAAACTGTCAATATAAAGAAAAAATGAGAGGTTGAAGAAGTGGAACTTTTCAAAATATTCTTCTCTTTTTCGGTATAATAAAAATAAGGTGGAAATGGAAAATGCCTACATTAAAAAAATAATAATAAAAAAATAAAAATATTTATTTTCTGTGTTTTCAAGATTGATGTTAATTTAATGAGTGCAGGGAAATTTTCAGACAAATGTAAAATGCATAGAAAGGGTTACTACTGACTGGGAGAAAGGGTTTTGATACTTTAACTTTCCTCTTTCTAGTTGAAAAGATGAATAAATGTGCTTCAACTACCTCTTCAATAACTGCAAAGAGGGAAAAAAAATAAAAATAAAATGATAAAACCTTGTTAATATTCTGCATTCTTTTAGTTTTTCAACATTTGAAAGTAATCACTGGTCAAGACTCATTAGGAATCTCGATTAAAATCTAAATTAAATTAGAATAAATGTAATCATTTAACGGGTGAAAGTAATCACTGGTCAAGGCTCATTAGGGATCTCGATTAAAATCTAAATTAAATTAGAATAAATGTAATCATTTAACGGGGTAACGGGATCTCGAATTGGATGGTCAAAATTTAGTATCAAGAAAGTGCATACACCAAAGAAAAGAATGCAATAATTTCGATTCCCATAATCGGAGAATATGGCAAGAAAACATCACTCAAAATCTTCTTGATTCGATAAGTATTACCCCATATTATATTCCGGTGGCCTCTATGAAACGGCAGATTTCATAGCAGCAGTCAATGATCATAAGCACAATCCAATAAAGAAAAGAAAAGAAGATACTCTTGCCTTGACAACTTTAGGATGATTTTTTTTTCAACGTTGTACAATTATATAATCATGTTTCCATCACTAAAACAACTTTATCCCTTATATTCCTCGAATAGGCACTCGTAAACCCAGTACGCCTGCACCTTTGGTTTTGACAAAATTACATACATATATATGTAGTAGATGCGTGTATAATAATGCATAAATGTACACATAAAGGTATAACCCAATGAAGTTTACCAGTGTAAGAACTGGTGCAAGCCCAACAAAAACCTTACATAACAAGGCACTACAAGCGTAGAATTCATAAATAGATTCTGAAGTTTATACAGATGGGAGGCACCTAAAAAACCCATAATATAGAAGTCGATAAATAACGAAACTAGATAATCAAACAAAAGAAAGAGTCAAAACGAAGCTTATAATTTATTACAAACAGTTTCGGTTTCTCTAACCATTTCAACCTCCAAAGCTCGCTTAGATTCCCCTACCGAAGTCCAATTCCATTAGAGCAGATGAATACGTCTCAGCACATGCACACAATAGATAGATGAAAAAACTCAGATCCTCACTCGCCAAAATAACCCGTTTTCAAACTTATTTGTACTCGAAAGACGGTGGAGCTGGAGCATCAAAGCTCTCCAAAACCTTTGTCTTGCTTCCATCACTCGGTCCAGCCTCCTCCTTCTCACCCCCAAAAAGACCACCAAACCAAGAAGATGACGACGTGGACGAACCCAAGCTCTCGGCATTGACCTGAGCTTGACCAGGAATTTGCCCCATGGGCGGATATCCAGGAGGCATACCAGCCACATTCGGCAACTGCTCCTCCATTGGTAAACCCGGCGGTGGACTCATAAGTTTATTCAACATAATTCCAGCTCCTTCAATCAGAGCAAGCAGTACACCACCGAAAGCTGCCGATCTAGAGGCGGCACCCAATCCCTGACGCATTTGCAGAAAGCCGCCAGTGGCTGCACCCGCTACGATGGAGTTCCACGGATCCTCCTTCTGGCGGAGGTACACCATAGTGCAGTCGAAAGTGGAGAAAAGCCCACCCCACACCGCGAAACTGCCGCCCACTCGTGGTGCGTTCATTCGAACCGCTTGTGAGCCGCCGATGAAACGCTCGCCCTTTGGGGAGTTGTATATTCCCTTCAAGAAATGGAAGGCTGAGCCACCAACTGCACCCATGCCGAAAGCTCCACCAATATCGTCAAGGATTCGGTCAGGGCATGGCTCTCTAGATGTTTCTGGGGTCCCCATTGATCACAGCCCACACAAGAGTCGAGACAAAACGGTTTTCTTTTTAGCGTTTGCTCAGGGTAAGCAGACTTCGAACTGATCTTGGCCACCCCACTATTGAATCATAAAACGGATACTTATTCAATGTGAAGAACACGCAAATAAACTCACATATGAATATGAGTACAAAAGACAGCAACTTTGTATACAATTTGTGACAAGAGTCGGGACATAAATAACTATGATCTCAAAATCCAATCACGAATTTCACACCACCAAAAGAAATACGTATACCATGCATTACTGATTACTGCTCCCCCCTATTAATTCATCACCCAGCATATAAATCGATACAGAAGCAATACTATCAATATCAGATACCTATCAAATTAATTGGGCAAAAAAATCAAAATCGGAAAAATCGCAAATAATGGAATTTAAAATGAATTATTTTGAGAGAGGAATTCATTGCAGTCCTGCTTCCCTCTCTCTCCACTAAAATTAATTACCCAATAAATCAATACAGGAGTAATACAGCGAACCATGCCAAAACGGTGCCGTTTTTTCAATACTTCAGCAATATAATACCTATCATATAAATATACTGCGAGGAATAAAATTCAAAGGAAATATTCAGAAGAAACGATCATTTTCCTAAATTTCAAACCAGCAAACAAAATCAAGAGCTCGTTCATTTGGTTACAGGATAGAACATCAATCCAAAGGGCAGAAGTGTAATAATTGCGTAGATTGAGCAACAATAACTCCAAAAATAAGATCGAGAAAAACACTAGGGTTTACCTGGAAGGGCGGTGTTTCGTGGGTTGTGGAGAACAGAGGGAGGGTGATTGACGGTGTTGCGGAGGTGAAATTGCTTTCTAGAGAGAGAAAGTGTCGTTTTTTGTTATAGGGTTCAATTTTAGTTTGGGCTGTAGAGAGAGAAAAATGTCGTTTTGTTATAGGGTTCATTTTTTAGTTTGGGCTAAAATTCAATTGGGTCACTTAAGTGTGGGCCTTTTTTTTGCCCAATGCAAGCCTAGTCATTTCTAAAGTGAATTGTGGACTATTCAATTTTTTTGTTTGACTAATTTCTATTGATTTGTATATATGTTTATTATGTATAATTTTGATATTTTTGATATCTTTTTGTGGGCTAATTTGTTAAAGACAAAGGATCAAGATTTTACTGCATTTTCTGTGAGAGAACAATTTATGATTTTCTGAGTGTGTTTTCTGTGTGAGATCAATTAGATTGCTGAGAATTGATGTAATTTGTAACACTCTTGATCAAGAATATTTTTATTGGATCGTTTGGTCAATGTAAGCTCTGATTGAGTCGAACCATGGTATTTTTGGTGTTCAATTTGTGATTGTTTTACTGAGTTTCAGTACACACTTAGCAGTTTTATTCACACACTTGAGCACAAATTAATATCAACACTTTATAATATATATAAATGTAAACTAATTGATTTAAATTAAACTGTATCACACCTCTAAGCATTAGTAATCAATAGTTATAAAACTGGAGCAACAAATATTATTTTCATTGTGAAATTTAAGCTTGAGAAAATGAAGAGAGGAAATCTAAAAAAAATAAGTGAAATTACAAAGTACATTGTGAAAATTTCAATCCAATTTCAGTTTCAGTTCTACAAAGTAAATATTTATAAAAAAAAAAAGAAGAAGAAAAAATACTGACTATCTATATATCTACAAAACACTATGCATAAACTATTGTAATTATGTTCATTTTTTTAAATAAATTAAAAGTATAAATTTGTAGTTATGATCTTCTATCATAACGAGCGTCTGCATTTTTCCTTGTCGCCTCCAGGATTGTTTTGTCCGCAGTAATGAAGTATGCAGCTATCGATGCTGCAGATAATCGAATCAAATAAGTCCGTCATATTATTTAATTTGTAAGGAGAAAATGTATAATTTCTAATTCAAGAAATGAACCAAAAAAAAAAAAATTCTCGGACTAGATGAACAAACCTCCTGATATGATCAGAGCTTGTCCGGTGTAATTCAAATTCGCCTTTGCCCAAGGAATTGTACGAACTGCAGCCAACTGAAATCATCCAAATAAATATGTATATATAATTGCACTTGCGGAGTCGGGATTTTAAGTTCATAGGGGTTGAATGCATCAAAAAATTTATAGAGGAGCAATAATGCTAATCATGCACGATTTTTTTTTTAAATCTTTACAAAAAAATTAAGTATTCGAGAATTTTTTTTTTTTTTTTTGGGGGGGGGGGGGGCAATGGCCCCCTAAATACTATACATATAAATTTCATGTCATAAAGAGAAGAATCATAGATGTATCAGATCAGACTCACATACCGTAGGAATTGCACTAACCACACAAGTAACACATGCAGCTTTAAATCCAGCAATAGCACCAGCTGAAATTCAAGACAATTAAAAAAAGAAGAAGATATATATGTATAATGTATGTATATAATATATATATATACAAATGTAATAATTATGAGAATATATATACATTACCTTGAACACAGTTTTGAGCAGTAATAGTGTTGTGGGTTTCATTTGAGTGTCCCATGTTTACATGCACTTAATATTCAAACCAATATTTGAATTAATTAGTTTCTCTCTATATAAATTAGAAACAAAACTAAAAACAAAAAATGCACACAAATACAATAAGTGGAAGCTCCAGAAAAATTGTAGGAGAGGGGGTTAGCCTTTGATTTATACTTAAGCCACAAATTAATTAGTGGTTTCTACGTATTTGCAAGGCCAATAATTTCTCCCAGCCTTTCCTATCTTCTTTCTACACTAAATATTTAAATTTTATTCAATAAGATATACGTCACTAATTTTCTTTTATTTTATTCTTTTTCAGAAATTTATTTCTCAATATGAAAAATTTATCCCAATTAAGTTGGAAATTAAAAATCTGATGATGGGCCTTATATCGGGTCATCATAAAGAACAGAAGATGGGCCCTTTATATTTGGATTCGTGTGAATGAAAAACTAAATGGGCCATTAATATTTGGACTCGGGCAAATTTTAATCGAGTCGAATACAAATCTAGCTCGAGCAATTTAATTTCTTGCATATATTTTATTATTTTTTCTAATTGAACTTGGAGCTTGAGTTGTGCTTTTATAGCCAAACGAATGTTAGTATTTAAAACTTGGTTAATAATATTAACGAGCCAAGCTCGAACGAGCTTTTGAATGTCGTGATAGAATCGAATATTGAATAGTTTAGTTCGATTTCCGACCACATTGCATCTAATTATAAGCTATAAATCCACATCTACTAAATAATTGGGTAAATCAGTAGATACACATAGCCATAGGTATGTATATATATATATATATATATATATATATATATATATATATATATATATATATATATATATATATATATATATATATATATTTTTTTTTGGGAATATAAAAAGTAAAAGCCAAGAGAGTGACTTGACTTGCCATATCCAAACCTTTGGTCAAAACCTGCACCCAATCAATGAGGTATATAATGGAAAAAAAAATTAAAGTAAAAAACACCAAAAGGCCAACCCTATATGAAAGCTCTCTCTCGGGAGAGAGTGTGCAGAAAATACAGCCTATTTTCTCTCTCTTTTTTTTTTTAACTAACTCTTTTGCTATTTCTCTCTCTCTACATTTCATCGATCTCTGTACGTACAACGCAATCGTTTCTCAAGTTTCTCTGCTCATTTTTTAAGCATTAATCACAATGCAAGTGTATTTACTTTGTCTTCTGTTTGTTTTCGGTTTGCGCACCTTTTGATTCTGATGCTAGTACGTCTTTTTTTTTTTTTTTTTTTTTTTTTTTTTTTTTTTTTTTAATTTGGTGTTTGATTGATTAGTTTTATTTGATTTGATTCACTGGTGATTTAACTGGATGTAACAGTGATTTACGGCACTGGATTAATTACAGGATGCTTTTATTTGTCGAGTTGCTTTTATTTACTCTTTATCTCTCAGTTTTTCTTTTGGTAAAGAGAATGTGTGTTGATTTTGCCTTTTTCCCTTCCGATTTTATGCTTTACTTGATGTTTTCTGTGCTTAATTTTTGCTTGTGAAGATAATCATTGTGGAATCTATAATGCTTCTTTTGCTGTTGTCTGGAAATTGATCTGGATTTCTGGATTCGGTTGAGCAGTTTGAGCTGAAGAACTTATAAAATAATAATGCAGTTGATTATCGAGTTGTTGATGCCAATTTTGTGATATTTTCTATCAGTTCAGTTGATTAAAGTCGATCGTTACAGTTTGTGATTCTGTGAAATATCTATGGAAGTGTGGTAGTTGTTACAGACGTTTATTTTTTGCGAGCGTGTCTGACATTGTTATTTTTATGTTTTCCGTTTTCATTGTTCAAACTGGTTGGGGAATTAATCACCGTGGACAGATGGAGCAGGTAAAGTTAATTCCCTAAATTATGCACTCGATTTTTGTTTTATGCTTATAATGAGATGTAATGTTCTGATATTTCTTGTTCAGTACGAAAAGGTTGAGAAAATTGGTGAGGGAACATATGGGGTGGTGTACAAGGCTCGTGATCGTGTAACAAATGAAACTATTGCCCTGAAGAAAATCCGGCTGGAGCAGGAAGATGAAGGAGTGCCTAGCACCGCAATCAGAGAGATTTCTCTCTTGAAAGAGATGCAACATGGGAATATAGTAAGGTAATTGAGGAATCTTAATTAACATGGCTAATTGAACGTTCCAAGAGAATCAAGACAATGGTTGCAATAAAGGGAGTGTGAAAGAAGGCTCTTCAATGGAAATTTATATATGATTGCCAATTGATAGTGTGGTTTTTATAAAGACCACCTGAAACTTGCATTATATTTTTTTTGAATTTGGCACAGGTTGCAGGATGTGGTGCACAGTGAGAAACGCTTGTATCTCGTATTTGAATATCTGGACTTGGATTTGAAGAAACACATGGATTCTTGTCCAGAATTCTCCCAGGATCCTCGTATGATTAAAGTGAGTGGTCTCTTTCTGCGTGATGGAGTTTTTAGAACTTGATACTTGGGATTAGTTCTGCAGCCTTAGGTAAATTGTCGACAGAGGGGCTTACGCCTTTTGAACTAATCAGCTAAAATTTAGAAACTGTGTTATATTTGAATTGCTTTACTACATTTCTTTTATGCTGCTTCTATTTATTTACTGCAATTATCAGTGTTATATGTATCACTACTACCAGGGTGAGTGGGGGTCGGGGGCACATAGGTTGGGTGGTACTCTTATGTTGCAGCCTATGAAGATGAGTAAAATATGTTGATTCAGGCAGATGTACAAGCATCTATAGAACAAGAATAAAGCAAACTGAAAATGCTGGCATATTTATATCAGAGCTCTGAAGTATCTTTTGTTTTTCAAGAAAATGATATTGTCACTGAGTTAATCTTCAATGTTGCAGTCGTTTCTATACCAAATACTACGTGGAATTTCCTATTGTCACTCTCATCGTGTTCTTCATCGAGACTTGAAGCCTCAAAACTTGCTGATAGATCGACGCACCAATGCTTTAAAACTTGCCGACTTTGGATTGGCCAGAGCTTTTGGTATTCCTGTCAGGACATTTACACACGAGGTGAGTACCTCAGAATTTTATAATATCTTTTGAAGGCTAATGTACTTAACTATCATATTTTAATTAGATTTCGTATCTATCTTGTTCTTGTGCAAATGTTTCTGATCTTATCATGATTGATAAACCTAACAGTTACAATTGCGTCTACTATCATTTGTTTTTTTTCCTGATGGCTGATATAAAATTATCTTTTCCAACATTTATAGCTCTCCGACTGTTTTTCTTATCTGTGAAACTCAATAAAACAGCCCAGAGAATACCTGAAACTGAATCGGTATCTGAACCTAAAAACCAACCATGAAACGATCTCCCAAGTTGATCAATATATTGTCTTGTTTTCCGTTTCTTCAACCATCAATGCTTTTGTAGGTTGTGACTCTATGGTACAGGGCTCCAGAAATACTACTCGGATCACGCCACTATTCTACTCCTGTGGATATTTGGTCAGTTGGTTGTATATTTGCTGAGATGGTAACCCAGCGAGCTCTGTTTCCTGGTGACTCTGAAATTGACGAGCTCTTCAAGATTTTTAGGTAATACATTTGACAAAACAATGATACATTCCTTGCAATCATCAACTTCTACCTTCAAAGGACCAAAAAAATAGTTTCATTACTCAAAATGTGATTCATAATATAATTCATTTTGTGTGGTGTCCTATGTAATGAAGAGTTACGGGCACCCCGACTGAAGAAACATGGCCCGGGGTAACATCTCTGCCTGATTTCAAATCAACATTTCCGAAGTGGCCGCCCAAGGTAACTGTAACTTGGATGAGTGTTCCTTCATCCCATTTCTTTGTTTTTATGTTAAAACATCCAGAATATAGAAAGCTTAATTAATTGCTATATCTAATTTGCAGGAGCTGGCAACTATTGTCCCAAATCTTAATCCTGCTGGTCTTGACCTCCTCAGTGTAAGCTTTTTTTTGTTTCTGTTTGGAGACGTATTAAAAAGATGTACACAAAAAATAAAAAGAAAAAAATGACGAAAGTGTTCAAGTAGGTTGGTTTTGCTGTAAGATAACTTTACTTACGTGACTACTGAAAAGTTTTTTGTTAGATTCTCGCCAACTTATTTTTGCACGTTTTGTTACCAAATTAAGATACTCATATCATAACCAGATGACTGATTTACTGTTCGATTCTTACAGAAAATGCTCTTCCTAGACCCCAGCAAAAGAATTACTGCAAGACATGCTCTCGAGCACGAGTACTTTAAGGATATTGGCTTTGTCCCGTAATGTGGGCCCCCCTCATCCTGGTGCAAATGTATATTGGTATGTGGCATCTGTGGGGCTGTTCTAATGTGTCAGATAACAAGTTTGTTGTATGCCCTTTGATTTTTATCTGCCTGTTCTTTTTTATTCGTAATTCGATTTCTATCGAAGTGGTTCTGGTCACAACTTATGGAACTTGTCTTTGCTGATTCCTTTTCACTAGCTCTGGCTTATATGTGCCCTCGTTTTTGTGTGATTGCATCAAGAATTTTTTCCCCTAAATTCGTCAGCTTCTTTGTAAGATTGTGCTGATGTAAAACATGTTTATCTGTTACTCTCCTCGTTAATAGGTCGACATGGTGTGCTGTTAGTTTGGTCAAAATGCTGCCTCTTACATTTCGTCTATACTAAAATGAAAATAACTGTCGTAACCCTTATTTTGTCTGTGATCGATTTTGTATTCTATGTTCATAATGTTGTGAATAGATTGCATCATTATCTCGTGAACCAGTGAACCGTTAAGCTAGTGAATTAGCAGTTATGTCGTGAACTTGAAATAAGCATCAATCGTGTGCATGACTGTAGTAAATTCAGCTGAAGAATGCACGACCACTTTATTGTTTTCATGCTTCATTGATGAATCCACTACGAGTTATGTGAATTGTGATGTTTCACAGTAATCGAATGTGTGCATTTATACAGTAATAGGCAAGGTTTTTTTTTTTTTTTTTTTTTAATTATTTTATTTAAAGAAGCAGTCACAGGTAAGTTAGCCCAATGGGGAATTAGATAAGTAATTGGGCCTTTTAATTAACCCATAAAGAGCGGAGTAAATGAAATGGGCCTCTATTGGTTTTTATAAAGATTTAAAGAGATTAAACATTTAATTAACACAAGAACACATGAAATTATCAACTCTCTTCCATTGATTCAAAGTCAATTGATTTCTAGAAAAAAGATGTTACATTGACTTATTAGGCATCATTATTTTGTTGCTCCTCCGCTCGTTTAATTTGGGGAATTAACGAGCTTGTCTTGCTACCTGAACATTACGAAAATAAAACAGACGCTTAGTCATAATGAAAATGTACGTATAGTAACTGATAAACACGTATGTGCACGACGAGAAAAGACCTGAAGATAACTCTCGATCTTCTTTTTCAGTGCTGCATGCTCTTGTTTTACCTCTTGGAATGTCCTCATGCACCTGCAATATATTGTGTTATTTAATAAAAAATAATATTATCTGAGTAGTTTAAGAATTTGGCACTAAATAATACATGGGAGACATAGAAAAAAAAAATTACCCTTCAAAGTTGCCAATTTTGCAGTATTCTTGGAATTGGGTGCATCGCTGTTTGACTTTTTTGGCCCCAATACTGCAACAAATACACACAGGGGCAAGGTGATCAAATAAATGCCAACGAATTAATAAGTATCGGAAATAACAAAATATTTTCAAAGTATTATGATTATTGAAAAACATGGCAGTTTGCTTTCAATAATATCATTCGATGAGTTTTTATTTAGTGGCATAACCTTTTGTTCATTGAATTGGAAGCTCTTTTGAGCTGTATTCATTACCCGTCTTGAACAAAAAAAAAAAAATTCGACGAAATATTCAAACCCGCTCGAGCTCATTTCGTATTTCAAATTTGTACTCAATTCATTTACACCCTTTTTCACAGTTACAAACAACCACTTGCAGGGAATTTTGTCGAGATGGTCACAAATTGTTTATAATTACACAAATACCCCAAAAGCTGCACAATTGTCATTATGCAGTCCATTAGTATTTACCTCGAGCTGCTACCCTTGAACTGGTGCATAATATTATCCAGTTTTACAAAATCGGAAGGACTATTGTTCCTGGACCCAAAAAAATAAAAATAAATTTCAGAAAATTATAAAATACAGTTAAAACCATCTGATAATGAGAATATTTTTGAAATTTGATCATCGATCATAAGTAAGAAACTCACAGTGTCAGATCGATATTTCGAATAAATCGAGCCGAATCAGAGTAGAATAGTTTGACGACCTCTTCCACGAAATTAGGGTTGGCTTCATCTTGCAAATCTTCTAATTGAATGAACTGTTCATCAAGATATCCCTGAAATTAAAGACATGCATGCATCATTATATTAATTAATTAAAAAAAAATGATTATGAAAAAAATAAAAAGGAGAATGAATGAATGAATTAATTGCCTGATCAAAAAGGGCATTTCTCATGCAGGCAGCTTGGCGTTGCAGTTTATTTCCCTCCATTAATTATATTGTATATAATTAACGGTAAGAAAAGGTGGAATATAATTGAATGAGATCTAGTGAAGAAAAGAAACAATTATATTATATTAGAGTGGGATTTTATGGTTTTGTGTTGGGAAAATGTGGAAGGCTGAATATGGTATATATATAGGAGGCAACATAATTAGAAATGTATAAGATAATTGAGGAAAAGAAGATTCAACCCTGGTGGTCCCCTCCAATCATTCCCATGCACGTGTACATATTTTTATCTACTTTCGCATTATTATTAGTTTTATTTTTTATTTACCTTTTATTTCAATTTGCTTTTTACACAAAAAATTAATTATATATATATATATAATTTCGACATATATTTATTCTATATTTCCCCGATATATACAAACAAAAGAGACCATCGTTCTTTTTCAGCTGCGATTTTCGTCATCTCACCGCATATAAATAATACGTGTCTTTTTTTTATTTTTAAAGATGGTGCTTTTCTTTGTAAAAGCTTTGGCAGTATATTCCATATTACAACAATCGGCACTATTTATTTATTTACACATGCATTAATTCAAGGTTTATGGAAAACATGATATTTGATGTACGTAATACTATATTTAATTACATATGAAATAAATTTATATATTTTGTTAAGAGAAAATTGTGGGATGGTGAAAATACTAAAAATTTATATATTTCGGAATTACAAAATATCTCGTATATATTTTTTATCCCCGGGATTTGTGGGTGGGGGTGGGATAAATACAAAAGAAGACGAAGGAAGAACAAAGACTTGAAATATGACCATATTCATGATATTATTGTACAACAAATTCTTATCCTTCAAATATTTTTTCTGACCTGTCACCTATATATACATTGGGTACCACTTTTAGCTCATTTATATAACTTTCGCCACCAAATTACCAAAAGAATATTTATATAAATAAATAATTCAAATATCAAGTCCCAAACTTTACACTTTCTACTCTCTCTCTCTCTCTTTCTCTCTCTCTCCATCTTTCTGTCTGTTTCAATGTTTGGATTCCCTATTTCCCCAATTTGGATACATCTCTATACCTTTCAATTTGGTGATATAAATTACTGATTTTCTTATGACTCTATTAAGGATTAACCCCTTTGGTTTCTAATATTTATATATATATATATATATATATATATATATATATATATATATATATATATATAATCTACTGTTTGGAAGTAAAGATTATGTAGAGGAATAGGATATAGCAAAAAAATCAAAATTTCAACTATATATAAAACTTAATTGGATTATATAATAATACTCTGTTAAGGTTCAGTAACGGCCATATATAAATATATTTAAATAAATATCCTGTTGAATTAATAATTATATAAAAATGTTAAAAGAAGTGTTAGATATTCATTGGCAGGTGTTGATAGAGAGTAGTGTGAGTGTCCAACTGGGTTTATTCGTATTGCGGACGATGACCCAATATAGCCAAAAATACATTAGTCGAACAGCTACATCACAATAGAATGTTCAAAGTGAAAGCATACTCGATTTTTGGAGCGGAATTATAACTAGTTTTTCACTTAAAATGAAAATGTAATTTATCCGAAAGTGTCAATTCCAATCTGATCCGTCTGATTTCAACCCCCTAACAGTAACCAACCCTTGTCCGATTTCCACAAAAAAAAAAAAGGATGGCCTCGTTGAACCATCACCAGGCCCTGTTCCCGGTGACCATGTTAATCCGTCCATGGTCAACGGGAACGAGTTGGAGGGGCCCCTGGTCAAGGCTATCTGCGTATATAATCGAGTGGTGTGGACGTGGGATGTTGATGTTGTGAAAGAAACAAAAAGCTTTTAAAATGGCATAAGGCTTGAAACAGATATATGGATTCCCCAAGTCTCTATCTCTCTCTCATTGTGTTGATAAGAAACCCACCAAGAGTACATCATGATATTATGTGTTGGCAAAAGAATTCCTTTGCAAGATTCCATCCAAATGTAATAAAGTTATTAATATCTATAGATTAATATCTTTTTTTTTTCATTGATATGAATATTATGTTTATATTTGTTAATGTTCTATCGGACAAAAAAAAAATGCTAATTCCACCACGGATAAGTGGGAGATGACGAAACTACCCTAAGTCGGCTGCCCCACTGAGGATTACTAGCTAACGATAGTTGCGGTAAACTGGAGTATACATGCAGCTCTCAGCAAACGCTACAAGATCTTTAGGCCGGGGGAGACGAGAAGCCAGACCTGCAAGGGCATAATAGTCATTTACATAACCGGAATTCTCTAAAGTCTGTATATTAATTAGGATATGATCAGGGAAGAATAATAAAATCGTACCAAGTTCATATGCCTTGGCAGCTACATTAGCTGCTATGTGGGCTGAAATCTTCCTAATATTAGTAAACGGAGGGTATATCAGTCCTTTCGCATAATTCTCCTCCATTGCTTGAGCTGCCAATGCTTCAGCTGTATTATTCAGGACATATACAAAAGTGGAAATCACATACTAAACATGTCTGAAAATCTTGGATACGAAAAATAAACTAGAATTTAAAATCGATTTTTTTAGCTCAAAATCCATTTATCCAAAGTGCAAAAAACTAAGTTCTTCCGTTTTTTTTTCTCTTACAGGCTGCCAAAAGCAAATCATCGTGTACACGAATTGTTCCGGACATGATCAGTCCTAGACCGAATCCTGGGAATATATACGCATTATTTGCCTGTTAAGATGTAAAAATAGAATTAAATTTATGACAAAGGAAGAACAAGAAATGTTAAAGTAGTTTGTGTATAACTATATCTATATATCTAATATTGAAAGAGCAGAAACCTGGCCGGGGACAAATGTTTGGCCGTTGTACTCAACAGGGTCAAACGGGCTTCCACTAGCAAAAATTGCTCGTCCCTGTAAGAATATATTTGGGATGATCACGGAAGACATTAAAACTCTAACCATGATTAACTAAATAATTGGATTTTATTTGCTGTTTGGTAAAGTCCAATAACTTTTCGGGGGGACCCGCTATTGTAGAAACGAGGTCTAAGAGTATCGAATTAGCTACGAGGTCGAGAAATTAAAGCAAATTTACCTCACTCCATGTGTAAGCTTCTTCAGCAGTACACTCTGATTGTGAGGTTGGATTCGATAATGAAAGAATGACCGGTTTCTGAAATTATGAAGGACAAGAGTTATTTGTGTGAGTGAGAGAGATTTATGAGTGAGAGAGAGTTGTGAGAGAAAGAACCTCGTTGATGGATGACATAGCCTCAACGACTTCTTTTGTGAATGTTTTTCCAACACCAGAAGTTCCTATTAAAACTGTTGGCTTTATTGCCTGAAATGTTTAAAACGAACTTTAGTTTTATCTATCTATCAAGCGAAAATATAGATATATTTGTCAGTCAAACGAAACATGATTTTCTTTCGTTCCACACCTTAACTGCATCCAACAATTCACTGACAGGTTCATGTTCATGAGCCCAAGGCGCTTTGAAATGCTGAAGAGATTCTTTACGAGAACTCACAATCAACCCCTTTTACGAAAATTCAAGAATCATTCACAATAAGAAAATGCAGAGGATTTTGCTTGAAAAAAAAAAATCGATACCTTGGAGTCCACAAGCCAAATTTTCTTCCTGTTCTGTTCAACCGGAGTATTTGTCTACAAAATGCAAGTCTAAAGTTGATGATAAACGAAGCTGTAGCAAATAAAACCAAATAAAGAGCGAATCGTGAAATAAGTTGATTACCTTTTTGGATATCTCAAGAGCAATAAGCTCAGCTATACCAGTTCCAGCCTAATGCATACAAAAAAATATACTTTAATAAAATTTGCCTTCGATTGAAATTGAAGTCGTAAATTTAGAAGCAAGTGGTGAGAATTAACCTCTCCGGCGCCAAGGAATAAGAAAGTGTGATCCGCTAGAGTTCCACCAACTATTTTCAAAGCCGAAACAATCCCAGCAAGAACCACAGAGGCTGTACCCTGAGACGACACCAATAAATCATGACTTTCGAGACTTTTTTTTTTCTTTAAATATCGAATCAAGAATTCCAGATTATTTAATTATATAGACCTGGATATCATCATTGAACACAAGATGAGTTGTTCGATATTTAGCAAGTAGATCAAAAGCATTGTGGTTTGCGAAGTCTTCAAACTGCCAAGTGCAGGAAAGGTGAATCTTGAAAATGCTTAAATAGAAAACGAAAAAAGAACGTATTCGGTGGTGTACATATATACCTGTATGAGGACCTTCTCACCGTAGTTTTGTTTAGCAGCAGACATGAACTCTTCTAGAAGCTCGGCGTATTCCTATAAGCAAAGTGGAAGAAGATAAATCATCCTACAATTTAATCCTTTTTATCAAATGCAAGAGGAAATAACGAGACCTGCCCCGTTGCTCTATTTTGCCTCAGACCAATATAGAATTCGTCATCCAGCAACTTCTTATTGTTTGTGCCGACATCAATTGTTATAGGCAGGCACTGTTAATCCCGTAACGATAATCAATTCTTCCATAAGTCAAAGGTATTGAAAAAAAAAGAGCCATATTTTGCAAGAACTTCACATGCAAGAACTTAAAAATCCGATATATATACTCAAGAAACAATAATGAATGTTGCATAGTGGATCAACACGGAAAAAAAAACACGAAGGTATAGTTACGCTTACTGCTGAAGGACGAACGCCTCCAAGAGCTGTATAGAGAGAGAGTTTCCCTACAGGAATCCCCATACCCTGTGGCAGTGTACAAAGCATTTTAGGAGAATAATCCGACAGAAAAAAAACTATAAAAATTATAATACCTTACTTAAGTTTCAAAATACGGAGGCGTTTTATATTAAAGAAATCTATAAATTATTACCTGGCAGCCAAGATCTCCGAGACCTAAAATGCGCTCACCGTCTGTTACAACAATAACCTGAATAGTTTTTTCAGGCCAGTTCTTCAACACTTCGAGTATCTTTCCCCTAGAAAAAAAATAAAAAAATTTAACAACAGTTAGAAGAACAAACTATGGTTAAAATTTATTGAACAATGGGTTGAAAATTTTGAGGTTACTTTTCTTTTAAGCTGATATAAAGTCCCTGAGGGCGCCTGAAAATGCTGCCGTATTTCTGGCAGGCCTCACCGACAGTAGGAGTGTAGACTACAGGAAGAAGTTCCTCCACATAATCCATTAGAAGCTTGTAAAACAACTTTTCGTTTCTTTCCTGGAAAATATATACGAATAAATAAATTAGAATGTGGACTTAGATTAAAAATGATTTTAAATAAAAATTTACCTGGAGATCCATCATTGCCATATATCTATGCAACGGGACTGTATACTGACGTAGAATGTGCATCAACCGTTTCTCCTGTCAGCAAAAAAAAGACAATAAGGTTTATTATATAAAGTTTAAACTTATCACGAGATCCAAGTAATAATTACAGAATTACCTGATGATCTTGAGAAAGAACTACTGGGGGTAAAAGGCCGGTTAAGTAATGAGCATCTCTTTCCTTTTCGGTGAATGCAAGTCCTTTGTTATGGCGTGGATCACGCAACAATGTGTTACCGCTGGACGAATAAATACGGGATTATAAATCTATAAAAAATTATATTAGTTGGAAATCTTGCATTCAGAAGAGATGTAAATACCAAACATCACATGCAATAAAAAGTTGGTAAAAATATTTCTTTTCCAATAAGCCACATATGTATAAACATCAGTATCACCGAAGATACTCCCAACTGTATAAGTTCATAACTCATTTATTAACATGGTACAGTGATAGTCAGTCACGGAGGGGTAATTCAGGCAGGAAAAAAATTGTCACATAAAAAAAATGAAAAAAAAAATCATATGATTCGATTTGTGAAAATAAGCAGAACAGAGATCATCATGCACAAGTTCCACATAAATCGAAAGATTTGCGAATTTAATCCGTCACAGTGTTACAAATGTACGATAGATGAAAATCAAGGAAACAGGCAATCCAGGAAAATACTAGGAAGCAAGCAGTTGAATTAAAATGAATCAGCATTTTGATTATAAAAGATTTAACAATGAATGGTGAATATTATTATTATAATTATATAAATTTAGTGGAAGATTGATCGATTACCAAGCAACGGAAACGGTCCAAGGGGTGATTGGCTGATCCTCGGTGGCTCTATCTTCACCGTACACATCCTCAACACCACCGGCGACACCTGCTTTGTCCTCTAAATCAAGCACCGATTCACCCGTTAACTCCTTCATCGTACTCTCCATTTATTTTTCACTCCTTTTTTTTTCTTTCTTTTTCTCCGATCTCTCCTATTTTCCTCTAATTCCCAAAGCCACGAGTGATTGTGTCTGCCAAATTCAACAGTAAACAACAACAACAAAAAAAACCCATATATATATACAAATACGAGAGTGTCTTTGTTTGCCGTAATTATACAGCGTGAAATTGAAAATAATAACACCAAAAAAAACAAAGAGAAAATCGAGTGTACCCGAAATAATACTGGCCGGCATGAATGGGAGCATAACGAAAGCCAAGGGTATTGAATCGCAATTTATATATGGAATACATCAATGCTTCTCAGTGCATGTAGAGAGAGAGAGTGTGTGTGTGAGTGTGAGAGAGAGAAGAGAGAGATCCGATTATTGGGGAGAGAGAGACACGCCTTTGATGGTAGTTGGAGATTAGGGAAGGTGGAAGTTGATACTTGAACCTAGCTTCCTTCTTCTTCTCCCTCGATTCTCTTTTTTCACCTGGTGATGTGTGTAGTGTATCACCTCTCTCTCTCTCTCTTTCTCTGAGTTTATTGCATTAAACACCCTGATGTTTCATCTAATTATTAAAAAGGTCCAACTATTAGGAAAAAATCCTATGTACTACATTTCTTGTAGCAAAATACTTCCTAAAAGATCAGTATATAGGGAATGTGATCTTAAATAAATGCATAAAAGAGGTTATTTTGTTAATATTAATAATACAAGGACTTTATTCAGCAATTTAATATAATATAGGGGTATAGATGCAATACTCCCTTTTCTTTTACGAACAAGCAAATTGTTGGGCCCTTCAATACCTTAAGAAAAATGGGCCTTCTTGTCAATTTGGGCCCCTACTTTTACTGGCCTCGTATGATTTACGGAAAAAATAATAATTTAATAATAAATTATGCAATTTAATAATAATGAATTAAAATAAAAATCACTTATATATTAAATAATAATTTAATAATAAATTATGCAATTTATTATATAGATGAGCATTTAAATTCCCCACGAAATGGGCTTCAGAAAACTCCCCTATGGTTTTATCCTATAGACTTTTGTGACAGATATACCCCTGATTTCCCTCGAACCATAACTCCTAAAACCTCAAATAAGTCGGTCGGAGAAAGGGCTCAATCGGCTAGAGACACCTGGTTTTGGGGATTTCTGCGGCGGAAATGGACCTCCGGCCGAGGCAACGGCAATCATTTTCTGGATTTACTAAATCCGAGGTCTCCTTCTTTACATTTTTTTTTCCAATTTTTATATGCTCACCGAGATTTCTCTGTTCTGTGGATTTGCGTTTGTTTATTAGCGTTTAATTTTGATCGGTCTGTGCCGAATATGTGGTGGAGAGAATAGATCAAGGTTTGAATCAGCAGTGCATTTTTTTTCTTCTGTTTGTGCGTTGGATTAGCTGAGAAGTATTTGAGTGTTGATTTTTTTTGAAGTGTTTCTAAGTGTTTGTGGATATGCTTCAATGAAATCGAAGATAAGTTTTCATCTCCATATTGTGATTTTATGTAATTAGAGTTGAAAATGGAAAATCAATCGTTAGTTTATGTTTCGTAAACCATTCAATACTTGATTATCTTCAAATTCTGTGCTAGGGTATTATTTTTTTAGCAGTTAGCAAAGACTTGATGTTAAATTCTGCATTTCATAAAAGAACTCGGCCATTTATAACGGAACTCGTCTCCGTGCAATCGATATATCAGGTTCAGCGAATGGAGCATTTACTTAACGAATTTAAAGAACAATGTCTAGAGAAGGAGTTCTGTAAGAAATTGGCAAGAATTTTGAAGTGAGTCTTCGTTCTTTTAATTGATTGCTCAATCGCCTACTTTAGAAAGTACATTCCGGACAACTTCACATACATTTGGCATATTTGCAGCCGTTCGAGTGGTCGTGCTGGAAAACCTGCTGTAAACTGGAATGAGGTTTTACATTCTCCTTTTTTATTCTCTCTTTTGGACAAATTGGACTATGATGGATCTTCTGACCAATCTCTGCTGTGTTTTAGGTTCGAAGTTGGTTTCAGAAGAATCAACAAAATGGGCTCTCTAAAGAGAGTTCATGCAATGAAGCTAAGGAGACACCTGTTGTCACAGAAGCCCTCGCTCGGAATAAAAAAATTGGAAATCCAAAAATGGCTGAAGGTCTGTTTTCTAGAAATTGTTACGTGTATAGTGATTGATGTTTAAATCGTATCTTCCTTAGTTTTCCCATTGCACATTCAAATTACACATAGCTGGTGAATTTTGTTGATCATAATAAGTTCGAATTAGTGCTATTGTTGAGAACTTTTCACCTTCGATTAAAAATAGGATATTAGTAGCTATGTGCTCCATCTCAGCTAGACAATAAATAATAGGCATAACATATTTCCACCCAATATCACTGGTTCATCGGATTAATTAGTCGGGCATTCCCCCCATTTTTTGTTGCATTGTAAAATGATCAATGGTACCACCATTATCAACCTTGGAAAGTTCATTTAAAAGCCGTGACATGACTAAGAATGTTTTTTACTGGAAGGAGAGAAGAATGAAGATCTATCCATGTTGGAATTTGAAGCAAAGTCGCTCAAGGATGGGGCATGGTAAGCTTTAATTTAGCAATTGATGAGCATCTTTGTTCTTTCTACTTTAACATCGAATTTGTCAATATAATATCGGCAAAGAGAAACAAAGCAGCAAGACATATTGTCAAATTCTTATATTATAGCCAAAATACTCGACTATATTACAACCACAAATTATTTATGGGTTAAATACAGTTTGCACCCCTAAAGTATACCCTCTGTAACACTTACCCCCTTAAAGTATCATTTGTAACACTTACCCCCCTCAAGCACAATTTAATTTGTATTTTAAATTTTAATGCCTTAAAAAAATTATTGTATTGAAAGGAATAACTAAAAGAATAATTAAATTATACAACTAAAAATATCTATTGAAAAAATACAATATTTTAAAATTTAAAAATATTATCTTGCGTTTGATACTTTTTCAATAAATAACATCTAATTGTTGTTGGACCAATTAATCAAAAATAATCTGTCGATAAATTTTAAGAAATCAATACATAACTAATAGAAATCTTAAGTATTTAAATTTATTTTAGTTTATTAATTTTTTTAAATATATTTTCATTCATTATTACGCAATATATATTACTTTTTAATTTATTTTTTTCAATAATTAATTTTAGTTACTTTTCAATTTTCTATGAACCGTTAATTATTAGATTATTATTTTTATAATTTTAAAATTTTAAATTTTAAAATATAAGATAATTGATGTTGAGGGGGGTAAGTGTTACAAATGATACTTTAAGGGGGTAAGTGTTACGTGAGCTATACTTCAGGGGTGCAAAGTGTATTTAGCCCATTATTTATTTACCTGTGCTCTATCTTATCTTTTCTAATGTTTTACAGGTACGACGTTGACACATTTCTTTCCCATAGATTCCTCAGTTCCGGAGATATTGTAAGCAGTTAAATTTTGTTCTTACATTTGATTATGATGGAAATAACAGTTATTCTCAAGTTATCTTTTAATGAATGCTTGATTGCTTTCAGTTGCCTTTTCTTTTTATTCGACTAATTTGCAACTAGTCATGAGGAGAATCCTAGTACTGAGTTTTTGGGCAAAACTCTCACTTAATTTAAATCAATGCAGGAAGTTCATGTAAGATATGTTGGATTTGGAGCAGAGGAAGATGAATGGATTAATGTAAGAGATTCTGTTAGGGTTCGCTCAGTTGCTTTAGAGCATTCTGAATGCCGTAAAGTGAAAGTTGGAGATCTCGTTGTTTGCTTCCAGGTATCTTTTTTTTCATTATATTAACTAAAATAAGTTATATGATGGTGACAAACAGGAAGTACGAAAAAGAGGAGTGGTTCATCTAAGTGTCAAATATAAATTCCAATAAGTCGTATTTTACTTATCAGGAGAGACAAGATCAAGCAAGATACTATGATGCTCATGTGATAGAGGTACAAAAGAGATGGCATGATGTTAGAGGTTGCAGATGTCTTTTCTTGATTAGATACGACCACGATAATTCTGAGGTGAATGCCTTTTTTTTTGTCGGATTATAATTAAATCAAATGTTTGGTTTATTCAATCTTACGAAAGTATTTTCACTGTGATAGGAGAAAGTCCGTTTGAGGAGATTATGTTGTCGGCCAGACATACTAGCAAACTCGGAGTGAAATTGGCTTTGTGGGAATTGTTCTTCAACCTTTGTTCATGAGTTGTTATGTCATTTGCTGTAGGTGGAAGGCTCTTACATTATATATATATATTAGTTGACCTGAGCTGTTTCTTCAAGTCCAGTGAATAAAATTCTGATACGAAGTCGTAAGCCTCTTTAATTTGTTCAAGTCGATGTTCTTGGTGATTAATGATGATTCAAGTCGATGGTGATTAATGACGATTAACGTTGTGATTGATCCTAGTTTTATTTTTGATAATTAAAAAATAATTAAAATTTTATTAACTAATATTCAATGATAATACTGAAATGATTTGTGCAGGCCAAAATTAAACATTCAGGCACATTTTTTACCATTTTTCAAAAAACAAAAAGTAAAAAACTCAAAAACTCTCTCAACCTTTCGATTTTCTTTCGCAAAGCCCGTGCAAATCGTCAACAGATCGGAGGTAATTTTTACGTTTTTACGATCCTCTTGTTATGTAGATTACGAATCCGGAAAAAAAAACGAAAAAAATCATACATTGGCCTGCTCGTGTGAATTTACACGAGCACATCCATTGTGCTCGTGTAAATCCACACGAGTAGGCCTTTTTATATTTTTTTAATTTTTTTTTTAATTGCTCGTGTAAAAACACACGAGTGGTTGCGACGTGTATGCGTGTCCTCAAACTGTAATATGTATGTACATGATCGCTTTAGAGAATCCAATTTTGACCATGTTCGAGTCCGAATTTGGATTATTCACGTGAGACAGGAATGGTTTTGTTAGTCTGGTCTATAGAACGTCACCCGATGACGTTGGGGGGTTAGGCTTGAGCCCTTAGCTGTGTATAAAACAAAATTCATGAAGTACATAATGAGTTTCGCTCAAATTGCTACTGCCCAACATATGGCTATTAATAGCAATTGACAAACAAAAGACAATAGGTAACTAACAAAACGTTAAGAAAACGGGCAAAACAGGTGGCCCAAATAATAAAAAGGACGGGGTGGGAATTATCATAGAAGGTCGGGGAAGA